TTGACGCCTACCGTAAGAAAAAATTTACGTGATATGGCTCGTATTATATCACTTGGTCGATTGCCGGTGTTATTGCAAGGTGATACATCAGTTGGTAAAACTTCACTTATTACGTATATTGCTAAGGCGTCAGGTAATTATTGTGTACGTATAAATAACCATGAACATACAGATCTCCAAGAATACATAGGTGCATATGCTACCGACGCAGATGGTAAATTAGTTTTTAAAGAAGGTGTTCTGGTAGAAGCAATGAGGAAAGGGTATTGGATAATTCTTGATGAATTGAATTTAGCTCCCAGTGATGTACTAGAGGCTCTTAATCGTGTATTGGATGACAATCGTGAGCTTTTTATACCCGAAACTCAACAAGTCATTAAAGCTGATCCCAATTTCATGTTATTCGCGACTCAAAATCCACCTGGCTTGTATGGTGGTCGTAAGATGCTCTCAAGAGCATTCAGAAATAGATTTGTCGAACTACACTTTGATGAAATACCGAAAAAAGAACTTGAAACTATTCTACATCAGAGGTGTCATGTGCCGCCATCTTATTGTAAAAAGATGATTGCAGTAATGGCAGAACTTCAAATCAGAAGACGAGGTTCAGCAGCAGTTCAAGGGAAAGATGGATTTATAACTCTAAGAGATTTGTTTAGGTGGGGTCAGCGATACAAACAAGCTTGTAAAGAAATATTAACTACTGACAAATTTTATGACTGGGATCAACACATAGCTGATGAAGGCTATTTGATATTGGCAGGCAAAGTTCGGCAACCCGAAGAGAGAGACATAATTGAACAGGTCATTGAGAAACAAATAAAGAGAAAAGTCATTCCCGATAATTTATTTAATCTACATCAAACTACGTCACCTGTAACGAAATCTATTTTAGAAACACTTCTCAATAATAAGCTTGAAGAATTTTCACACATCGTGTGGACTTATAATATGCGTAGATTGGCGATTTTGATTGCTAAGGCGTTTGATTTTGATGAACCTGTATTATTGGTGGGAGAAACAGGATGTGGTAAGACCACAATTTGCCAAGTCCTTGCAGCCCTGAGCAAAAGAAAACTTTTGTCAATCAATTGTCACATGCATACTGAAAGTTCGGATTTCCTTGGCGGTCTTCGGCCAGTACGACAGTACAATAACGATGGCAGACTGTTTGAGTGGGTTGACGGACCGTTGGTGAAAGCTATGGAAAACGGAGATATGTTTCTAGCTGATGAAATATCACTAGCAGATGATAGTGTTTTGGAAAGAATGAATTCCCTCTTGGAACCGGATAGGCAGATAGTTTTATCTGAACGTGGACTGGAAAATAATTCAGATATTGTGGTTGTCACAGCTCATAAAAACTTTCATTTTATTGGTACTATGAATCCTGGAGGAGATTTTGGTAAAAAAGAGTTATCACCCGCTCTGCGTAATAGGTTCACTGAAATTTGGTGTGATACTGTAACATCTAGAAATGACTTATTAAAAGTTTTAGAGAAAAGTGTTCATATAGGTATTTCATTGGGTAACCAGGAAGATGGTAGTTCTGGCATTGGAAATTCAATTTTGGATTTCACAGACTGGCTCAAACTGTCAGAAGTAACAAATAAATTTCCATTTAGTATTCGTGACCTTCTTTCATGGGTCCATTTCATAAATGCTACTGTATCCAAAGGACTTCTTGATACGCCTGAGGCGTATGTGCACGGTGCGTGCTTAACTTTCTTAGATTGTTTTGGCACAGCCCTTACGGGCCATATAGAAAGTGAGGCTTTATACTTAGTCCGCAAAACAGCTATAAACTTCCTCCTAGATCAGATTCAGACAATTGGTAATGAATATACAGATAATTTAAGAGAAATGTTAAGTGAGAGACAAAAGAAATTCAAAGCTGAGTCCGATGCAACCAGATTTGGTATAAAACCATTTTTTATAGAAGTTGGTACAAAAGTAGATATTGCAGAACAGAGACAACAATTCACATTTACCGCACCAACGACTGGATCAAATACATTAAGGTTGTTGAGAGGTCTTCAATTGAATAAAGCAATCCTCCTTGAAGGAAATCCTGGAGTCGGCAAAACTAGCTTAGTAACAGCTTTAGCTAATTCATCAGGACACAAAGTTGTCCGTATAAATTTGAGTGACCAGACTGTAAGTATATCTTCTATCATTAATTACAATAAGATAGCTCTATCTCTAAGATATTTATATATGTTTTACAGGATATCACAGACTTGTTTGGAACTGATTTACCTACTGAGAACGGATCTTTCACTTTCAAAGAAGGGGCTTTCCTGAATGCTCTGCAAAATGGTGATTGGATATTACTTGATGAATTAAATTTAGCACCTCAACCAGTTCTGGAGGGACTCAATGCTTGTCTCGATCACAGAGGCGAGGTTTTTATACCAGAACTTGGTAAAACTTTTAAAGTAAAAAAAGAAACTAGACTATTTGCTTGCCAAAACCCTTTAAAACAAGGAGGTGCGCGTAGAGGACTTCCAATATCTTTTTTGAACAGATTCACCCAAGTCTACGTAGATACCTTAACCAAAGATGATCTCATTTATATAGTGGAATCTCAATATCCAAGTTTACCTACAGACATTTTGCATAGGATAGTCAGTTTCAACTGCAATGTAGCACATGAAATAACGGAAATTCAATCGTGGGGTCACAAAGGTGGTCCATATGAAATGAATTTGAGGGACATACAAAGATGGTGCGAAGCATTAATGAAAGATCAAAATGATGGGAAAAAAATTGCTCCAGGCAAATTTGTGGATATGCTATATATCAATCGTATGAGGACAATCGAAGACAAAGAAAGGATGGCCAAAAAGTATGATGAGTTCTTTTGTCCTGAATACCCACGTAGCGATCCTAATCCACAATTTGGCATTAATGATAAAGAAATCATGATTGGGAATGTTTCGATTGAGAGAAATGAAGAAAAATGTTTTCAGAATCGGCGTGTTATTTTGACAAATAGTTTGTTATTGCGTAATCAAATGAGTACTATAAAGGCATTGGCACAGAGTGTTCAAATGAATTGGCTTTCAATTTTGGTTGGCCCTACGGCTACTGGCAAATCATCTGTAGTACAAATACTTGCAGATTTGACTGGTAATGATCTCCGAGTGATACCCGTGACGTCGGCTATGGATGTATCTGACCTTCTAGGTGGTTTTGAGCAAGTAGACTATAACAGAAACATTGAAAGCCTTTTTGATAAAATTGAAAATTTAACTATTCAAATAGTGAGAGAAATTTGGCTAGAGGGAGACAAAGATAAATTCAGGTCAAATAAATTGCTAACCAAGCTATATGAATACAAAAGGATGTTGGAAATTACATCGAATAATAATCCCGATGAAGATATAAATAAATTGAATGAAAAGCTGCAGTTTCTACTTAGACATTGTCGACAATTACTCGAATATGCAAAGTTTTTTGATGCAACTGTAAATAAATTGCAGGATGTAATTAATAGATTAAGAAATCTTGAATCTAAACTGTCAAAAGTGTCCTCAGTTAATGCAGGGGGAAAATTTGAATGGGTGGATTCTTTGCTAGTCAAAACTATGATTGAAGGCTCATGGCTTCTATTAGACAACGTTAATTTAACTTCAGCAGCCGTTTTGGATAGATTAAACGGATTATTGGAACCAAATGGCGTGCTGAGTATTCCAGAGAGAGGAGAAATGTGCGAAATAATACCACACCCAAACTTCAGAGTATTTTTCACAATGGATCCGAAGTATGGAGAGATTTCCAGAGCAATGAGGAATCGTGGTGTGGAGATATTTTTATTGCGACCGGAAGAATGGAATGCCAATTTAACTGATATTATGCCTTATATGGATTTATCTGCTTTATTGTCTTCATGCGGACTTCCGATGGAACTTCATGATTTGTTCATAGAATCTCATGAGGTTATGACATCTTTTGTTCAAGGTATGTTGCTTTATTATATTCTTAATAGTATCAATGTCTTAGAAAATGGTTTTAGCGTACTGTTTCAAAAATAATAATCATTTTGCTACATTTTTAATGATAAATTTTGCTTTTAGGTTTAGAAAGACCGACATTGTCACATTTATTACAAGCCGCTCATTTGACCCGGCAACAAATGGATAGAGCAATACCTTTGAGAAACGCTTTTATAAATAGTTTCTCGGATACTTACGTTAAGCCAAGATGTGGCACTGACTTTGCTTCCAATGTTAACATGTCACTCGCAGGAATGAAAAATGACATGCTAGAAGTTTTAGAGAATATTTTTGCCAGTTACGTAAAAACAGCATCAGTTTCGAATATACACACCATGTCTGTCAAGGGATTATGCAATGATTCCATGATGGAAATTGCAAAGCAACTGGCATATAATGTGATTCACGTTGATAAAGATTGGGATTCTTTCATTAATATGGAATTTCAAATTCTTTTCAATATTTATGTTGCTTATCAAAGATGCCCAAAAGATATTATACCATTTCTGCACTGTGTGATCAAGTACAATTTTGAAAATAGGAATGACTTTGGAAACAAATGGGGAGAATTTGGACTCAAATTAAATAACGTCGCATTCACTTATTTGAAAAGTTGTTCAGATTTTGAATCTTTCAAACGATTTTATTCAGAAATTTATGCCTTGGATAATAATTTAGTTACTAATACGAATGCAGATGTAATTCTACTGTTTAATGAACTATCCAAGAATCATATGGATTTGATGTTGCCTAATGCAACTTTCTCATTCTTTGACTACTCTGATGCTGTTATATCAGGCAGTTTGGTGGATGATTTAATCGAGTATCCGCTTTTAAAACATTGTAGGAGATACATTAATTTGATAGATCAATTTATTAAAAGCGCCTTTGGATCCGTGGAGGCATTAAATGATGAAGCTTTCTGTTGTTTGATCCAGTCTTTAAACTGGAGAAATAGATTCTATAAAATATGCAAATCATCTATGTTTGTTTCCAAAGAAGGCAAGACTAAAACAATATTAGATGAATCTCTTGTGAAATTGCTATATGTGCATAGTGCATGGCTTAAGAAATACCTCTTTAGTGAATTATATACCCTGTTGCCACCAAATCAGAGTCTGGAAAAGGAATTAAAAATAGCTATAGATGCATTCACCGTTAACTGCGACCAAGATAGTTCTGAAATGTCCAAATTCAGCAAGAAGTTGAGAAAACTTTACGGCCAACCCAAATTGTATAAAAATCGAGATGAATATAATATTTGTGTCGAGAGGGTTAACATTTACAAAAACTTCACTCTGGATTTAAATCAACCACTTGAGAATCAAAATGTTAATCTACATATTGACATGACTAAAGTGTGCAGTTCTAAATTAGCACTAGATGTTCCAGAAGAAACTAGTTTGAAAATAGTCCAAGATAATGTTTCGAAAATTAATGAGAAGGCATACAATAATTCCGAAACAAAACTATTACCTATAAATTCTTATGTTCTGTTGAGGATATCAAATATTTTGAACAATGCTTTCTTCGATACCATATCAGGTTTACCGCTGCAAGATACTAAAGAAAACAATTTGCCTAATTGTTCAGGAGAAATTCTGAAGAATTTAGTACACTTCGGAACTGTTACCAAAGCATTAACCCCTGAATTTTTAAATGTGCTTAGCCTCTTGCAAAATGTATATGATGGCAACATAAGTTTAATAGAAGAAAGGTAACTTTTTGATGATTATATTCCTTATATTCTTATTGATAGCTTTTCAGACTGCAGAAAACATAAATTATAGATTTAAAAATATAAATGTATATCATATTATATTTCTAGACTGTCAACAGTGCCCTGTAAGTTTTGGGAAGAATTCTATAAAGCACTAATCTATTCACCGGCGATGTATCCATTACCTTTCATTGGTTCGAATACTACGAGTGAAACAACTGAAAATATACCTGTAAATACAAAGAGGTTTTCTATGAATTTACCTTTGCTGCCTTATTATGCACAAAAAGTGACCTTATCTAAAGCCAATGAAGGTATGTAATCGAAATACCTAAGGTTTACATTTTTGATGTTCTGAAATAAGTTTTCATTATTCTCTCAGGAAAATTACTTTTAAAAGTCTCTCTTGCATTTCAGATTCCCGAGAAATGTTAGCTTACGAAACAGTATCTTTAGAGGACCGTAACAATTACTCTATTCGTTTAGGCACAATGTTGAATATTATTTGGAAAAATATTGCTACATTGGATACTCTTGCTGCGACTTCATTGTAAGTTTATAATTTTTTTCGTAAAATAGTTTTACGATCCGGCTTGAATTACACTGCTTTTGTTTTTCATAATAATTTAATCTTTTTCACAGAATAGCAAATGCTAAATTCGAAATACGAAAATATGAACAGCTCATGTCGTTTTTATATTCAGCTATAATGCAGAGCAAATCTAATTTGAGTGAAGAAATGGAAAAAACTTGTTTGATTATCATTGAAAGACTAAGAGAACATCTCATATTTGATTCAGTTATCGCTGATATGGCTACAGAAGCTAATAAAATTTGTGATGAGTTACGCGTTATTATATCGGGAAGTTTAATACACGATAAAAATAAAGCAAAGTTATTAACAGCACAATTGTCTTTGCTGACAAGTTTACTGTTCATTAAATTAATGGCTGAATTAAAGCCTGTTGACCACGTTGAGAAATACCGTTTAAAAGTCAGCTATATTGAAGAAGATTTGCGGATTTTCGAGGCTTTATTGAGTGGGTATTACATGCAAGGACTAGTATATGGAAATATTTTGGAATATACAAAAATAGAAATTAAAGATGTCACCTTAGACCGTTTAGAACAAAGCAAAGAGGATTTAGTTAATGTGCATCCCCATTGTGGAGTTTTGTTAGATCTAAGGGAAAAGACAGCTGCTAAGATTTATAAATACGCTTCAGGTAATACTTTTAGACCTGAAAAACCAACGTACGACAGTTTTGTGAAGGTATGTTATTAATTTGATATACCTGTATTGAATTTTTGGTTGTTTGCATATAATATTTGTTTGCACATAACCAAAAATTAAATATAGAGATATATTATGAATATTTACAATAAGAATATCTAAACTGTTAGAATTTTTGCAAACACCCATTATCAGATCTTTGTTCGTTTTGTAACTTTGTTTCAAATAAGCTTCTAGAATAGTTGTCATTTGCATCAATTATATTTTTGGCGCTGAATTTAGAAATGGGACTTGGTTTGGCCGTATATACGATAATTGACTTATCGTTTCAGTATTGTCGACACTTCACAAGATCTGTGTTGTCACCTTCAACTATAATCGAGCTTGCCAAGAATTTATTGACGATATCTAACGAATTGTTGGACAAATTAAAAAATAATGAAAATTCCAATAAAACTGCAATAACAGCTCGTAAAATTACAAAAGAAGCTGCATCATGGTTGTTTTCGGTCAAAGCATTTTGTAAAAAAGTCGAGAGTGAATTTGCCGAAGCGTTTCCTGATTTGGCAAAGCCGTTGCTTACTTCGGTATCGCAGACTGTGTACAGTGTGACGTCATTGAACGATTTGTTGAGAGAAATGGTCGTGAAGATGGAGGAGGGTGCGACCATCAGTACTATGGTCACTGATCTCATGATATACCCGAATAGTATACCACGCCGAAAGACGAAACAGCAACATTTGAACAGGTATTTGTCCCCTGAATTGATGGACATTTTGAAGAGGAAAACACACGCAGATGAGGATGGTGTTGCTGAAAATCTTGAGAAAATGCAGTAAGCGATTTTTTTACAGTTCATTTGTTATTAAATTTTCAATCATTCAATTCAAATTCGAATTGGCTGAGTGTATATTTACAATACTCTTCTGAATTTTTTCAGAGTTTTAAAGATGAACTTATTGGAATTGAAAATGCATTGCACGGCAGCTGAGTTTGTAGACGCGAACTCCATTGATGCCGTATTGTCTACCTTAAATTCCCTCGTGGAAGCGTGGCAGCAACAGCAGCAGGACATCGAGAAAAAGAAACAGGACGATGAAGCGTTGTATGTGACTAAGTGAGTAAAATATTACCGCAATTATTAAAATTAATTGGAAAATAAAATCTTAAAATTTAATTTTCTGAGCAAGCAAAAATGGAAATGAAACCCGTGACTGTTTTGAGCTATTAAATAATAAGTGTCAGATTTTATTTAGTGTTTGTTTCATATGCTTCTTTATGAGCTATTAGAACAGCCCAAACAAATACTTTTGGAAATATTTTTACTTGCGGTCAACATGATAGTGGTTCTCCCATCGCAGATTCTCGTTCATCTAAGCCCTGTTCCCCAAATATGCGTGAGAAAGGACTTTTAGATTATATATTGGGGTTTAAATTCTCGTGCATGATATTTATTCTTGGCCATTCTGATGTAAAACCATCTTCACTCTATACTGTTTTGTACTAACATAGATTTTTTTAAATATAGATCAAAGTGCGAAGACGAAGACGATGAGCTAATAGCACAACAGGAAATCAAAGAAATGTTCCCATCTTACACCGATAATGATTTCGGCGAGTTCAAACCTCCAACATTGGAACAGAAGCTCGTTAAAGATACAGAAAACAGGAAAAAACTAAAACTTATTATCACTTCTGACGACGTTTCCTTAGTTTACAAGTGGCATTCCAGTTTCGTCCGTTACACGACTAGGGCAGAATGGTTACCCAGCCCAAAGAAGTTGGTAGCAAATGACGTGGTCAGTCCTTCGCTGCATAGGTATCTTACGTTTAGCCGTGTAATTGAAAATGCTTGGGAAGCATTGGACGCTGAAGTAGAAGGCGTCTTGACGCCAAGTCTTCTGATGCTTCTATCCCATATTAAATCTAAGGTCGACGGAAACGGTGAGTCCATCTCTTCTTGTTTTCTTTGTTTTTTAATTTTGCCTCAAACATTGCTTTCTATTAAACTTAAAAATGTTTTAGATTCTTCAAATTCTAAAATTGATTTCTACCACTCTCCGTGGATTTTGGAGACGAAAAATTGTGTCCCACTACTGCTGAAGGTAAAAGAGACCACCAACCAATTGCTCGATCAGTGGCCGGATTTTCCTACTTTGAAAGACGTGAGTTAACTCTATAATTTGTTTTAATAAGTTATATATGCATTGCATAGAATAAATTAGTTAATTTATAAAAAAATATATATATGATACTTATCATGTTGCTACAATTTTAATATTGTAAGGACATAGCTTGTTAAAAATCTATATGTATAGAAGACCTGTAGAAATAAAATGATGATATCAATAATTTTCAGATAATGGTGATCATAAACAGAATACTAGGGTTCCCAGTAACAAGTCCCGTATCTCGTCTTCTTACTGGCTTAGAATTGCTCAGAGACAAGATAGAAGAATGGAACAAAAGTGCACACAAAGGAAATAACATGATCGAGGAGTCGCTATCTGTGGGACAACAGATTATAAACTGGAGAAAATTAGAGATGGCACATTGGAAGGAGTCACTCAACAATTTATATCAAAGGTACAGGAATGCAGAAAAATAGTTAATGTCGGTAAAGGTTATACTTGTTTGCAGGTCATTGAATATATCTGAATTTAATTTCTGAACAATATTCCGTATTTTATGTATAATTATTTAATAAATATATTTTGGTATATCGCTTTAAAGATAAATCCTATATGTGTTGACAGGAAACAATCAGAAGCTCACAAATACTGGTTCTATTTATACAATGTTGTGAAATCATATTTGGAAGCTGAACCTGACAGTGAGCCTTTATCACCTGGCCGTGTTATTTCTGTGCTCAGAGATTTTATGGAGAAATCCAATCTTGTGGAATATGAAGTGAGGTTGGATATTATATATGTATATCACTGTCACTTAGTGCATTTGGAACCTAGCGACAGGCGAGGTGAGTGTTATGTTTTGAAAATTTTGTTTTGTAAATGTAAGGTTCATTGAATTTTACTGTTAAGGCAACTACTTTTTTTGTACCTGAGCTTAAAATGCGTTAGTAAATATGGAAAAATAATAAGTAAATATGGATGTTCTAATAAACCGGTTTTTAATTATTAATTGAACTAGATTGTTATATATAAAAACGTATGGTGATACCGAGAATCTTATTGTTGCGCTGTTATGACGTCAGAAACCTATGAATCCTTGCACATGATATATAACTTGTAACTCACAACTACACACGCATGTACTCTGTGTCTCTGGGGATTATAGAGCGCTTTCAAAATCAACATCTTTACTGTATCTCTTTGTGTCTTTATTATGAAGTCATTTAAGATTACAATAGTTGTTATCTAATACATTACAGATGAACTCCTCTCCATTCTTTGGAACACATGCAACTATTATTCCCAATTTAGGGCACAAGTTGCAGCTACTATTAAAGAGAAGCGAGCGCCGATAGAGAAAAAGTTACGTGACTTTGTTAAAATCTGCACTTGGGACAGAGATCTCAGCTACTGGAGCGTGAAAGACACCGTCGATAAAGCTCACAAGGCGTTGCATAAACACACCAAAGAGTTTGAGGCGAGTATAAGAATATAATAAATAAGGAGCTTGATGGCTTAGTGGTCAGTGCGTTCGGTCTGCCATGTGGAGGTTAAGCGATCAAGGAGTTATATTTATCTTTGGGTTAAAAGCAATTTAAAATGCGAATAAAACGTATTTTCTATAATATTTGACTTATATCTGAGACATTATTGTTCGAATTGATAGTCATAAGACAACTAATCTATTGCTTCACTTTAAAAAAAGTGATCTTTAAATCGATCAAATTGAATCTAAATAAAAAAAATAGTAATATTTTTATGCTATTATTTGTATTTGCTTTCCATTATCTTTAACAACGTTCTTTTGTTTGCAAAATAATGATTTGAGATTCGATCCTGATACGATTTGATTGATTCTGGTCGATTTTAAAGTTATTCTGTTATTTTGAAAAATTACGTCATGATTTTAGTGTTTGCGCTCACGTGACTACATTGAATCACAAACATTATAATTTTTAAATGAGAAATTTTATTTGAAATTCGTAATTTATTAATCAAGATTTATCGTTTTTTAGATTTAGTATCAATAAACCTCCGTTATCATTTTATTCGTGTACAACTCGCGGATTTTCCGTTATTTTTTATTTATGCGGATTCAAATTAAATTAGGTTTTACCACTTACAGAACGTCTTGAAAGAAAGTGTCGCCGCTTGTTTAGTGGAAAACAGTACAGAGACGGGTACCGAACACGTTGGCATATGGGATCGGCCCAAACGTACCACCGGTGCCGCGGTCACCACAGGCGGCGCTTACATGATCGACCCACAAAACTTTGTCTTACTAATGAGGAACGTCAAAGTGAGTAGTGAAAAACATTTGTTCTTCAGAGGATGAAATATTCGATTTTAATAATAATATTCCAAAAACCTGGAGTATTGTAACTCGAAAAGGAAGGAACCCTTATAGGATCACTTTGCTGTCCGTCTATTTGTCAAGGTTTTTTAAGATATCGAGATATCGAATTGAAATTAAAACAATATACTTAGGCTAGAGTCGCTTGAAATTGTGAAAAAAAAAATCTGATACATATTTCTACACCTCAAATGAATCAAAATTGATAGAGTTCTTCCCGTTGACCTAGAACTATGAAATTTGGTAAGTGGCATCGTTTGTGGCTCTCATTTGATAGCCATTCGTGGCATTTTGATAGTCTCTTCATCCAGTTACGACACTGCCATTCCCCCTTGATCCACTCTTCTTTGCTTGCATAAATATCGAGCTTTACTTTTAAAAAAAATGGCACTAAACTTGGCAAAAAATAAATATTGTTTGTCTCACCACCGGCACCGGCCCTCATATCCTCAAAAATAAATCAAAGTAACCCTCTTCTTTTTGGTTCTTATGTAATACTTCAAATACTCCTTTACTACCTTTTTATCGCTAAATTTTGTTTCATTTCATGCAGCAATTATGTTGTAAAAGAAAATACATGAACATATATTTATTATTGTATTGTTAATACTGCTATAGCTAATTGTTATGATTATTTCTCATGTTCAATAAATTGTTCATTCATTCATTCTTAAACTTATTTTTTTTCTATCTAGAAATATCTAGATCAGGCTGAAAAACAATGCAGTGTAATCGCGGACGGCTCCCTCCTCTCCAAAGTACCCAGTTTACTGAACAAAGCGAAAACACTTTGTAAGGACACCATCGCAAATTCTGGCTATCCGTCGCTCGTGCAGGCTTTAGACGACTTCGTGACAATGGTCATTGAAACTAGCTCGCATCTTGGTGCTTTGGAGGTAAGCATAAATTGGTTGTAGATCACTTTGAGCCATATTTGAGGTTTTTTAAACATTTACTTTATTCCTGGTCATTAGACATTAGAAATAAATTTCAACACAAAATAATGAACTCATCTCTACATAGATAAATTTTATTCAAACGCCATTAAACCTTATAAGGTTTTAATTTATTTACAAAGAACAAAGACAAAAGAGCAAAAAAGTTGTTTGGTAGATTTTTGAACTGTACTGTGGCCTTTTCATAGATTGAATAAATTATATATTTTTAACTGACGAACTAAATAGAGTTTCTTTTTTTTTTACCCAGGCATCAACTCTATTCTTGAAGTCATTTTCAAATATGGAGAAAAAACACTTGATAAGTAGTGAAACCTACACCTAACCTATATTTAGTATATTAAAATTATTTTTATAGGTAGATGCAGCGTTACCAAAAGACAAACAGGTGTCACAAGCAAAAAGTTTTGTGCAACAAAAGCGCAAAGCATTAGCCGATCTCTTTAAGTATCTCACTAAAATGGGTCTTAATTATCGTACTGGATTAGTCATACTATCTGCTTCAGCGGATGAGCTGTATGATTTTACTATACCTCCTATTGATCTGGACGCTTCCATGAGTTATCTGAAGAGCAGGTGGGTGCCAGTATCAATTTTAAAAATAAGATAAATTTTCAGGGTAAAATTAAACTTTATTTGAAGTATGTATGTATTTTTAAAATAACATAACATTACAGACGATGCGATGCATCATTAGGCCTGCTCTGGTCCGGGTGTGAAAAGTACTTCCAGAAGAATATTGCCCGACACAGGCTATTATCAGTGTCTTTGCAGTCGCCCCACCAAGATCTTGGAATACAGAACATTGAGAGATGCAAAGGATTTGCTGCTCAACTGATGGTAAATAGATATTAATATGTCGTACTTTGTTAGCTAAACATTTAATTTTAACGTACTTTTATGCAGACTTATGACTTGAATAAAAATACTGTACTTATTTTCAGAAACTCATGAATACTCAAAAGAAGTCTATTTCGAAATATTCCCGATACCTCTACGACTTACGTACATTGACAACAAATCTTACCAGCGCTTTAGATGCTGACAGTGCCGCCACAAACATCTCAACTATCAAAGAAAAACTAGATATTCTCACCGAATGTTATTCTCAATGCAGTATTGCACTAGATCAGTTTAATATATTGCTAAATTCTTGTCCAGAAAACATTTTGAATTCAGGTTCTGAACCGACATTTGATTCGGTATTATCCAATTCGCCAATTGTTAGATGTTATAAGAATAGTGACGAATGGCGTGAATTATATAGGAGAGTTAACGTTATAATATCAACAATCAGCAAACAAAAGTCTGCTCTTGTAAAACTATTACATTCTAGTCCTAAACAGATCGGCCGTAATAAAGAATGCGATCTTGTTATATCTCAGAGTCATATAGATGTTGTAGAAGAAGCTAGAAAGAATTTAGAGGCAATAGTAGCTGATGTAGACAATATATTACAGGATTATCAATTCACATTAAATTCTCCTCTACTCTTAAATCTAACTGAAAATTGTACGCTTCAACATCCAATGCTTAGAAGTATGATTGATATGAGTTTATTTATCAAAGAAACAATTGTAGAGCTAGAGAAATTGAATGAACCAATAGATGTGGCTATGGAAGAAAGTTCAATAGATACATTAGTCAATCAAACTGAGGAAATGTTAGCTACAATGCTGCTAGTGCTTCAATCTGTGTATAAGAAACATTTGCAAACTGACGATAAAATCGAGAATCAAGATATACTGAATGCTATAGACGATATTATCGATAAAGACAACAAAGAGAAAGAGCAATCTAAAGATTTATTAGATGACAAACATTTGAAGGAACATTTGCAGGATAAATTGTCAAATGATGCAAGACTTCTTCAGTTAGAAACTCTTGTAGATAAAACGAGGAGTCTATTAAAGAGCTATGTACAGTATACAATTGATGCAAGAAATGTGGAAGATGGCAGAAATGTCGTTATGCGGTTGGTACCAATATTAGAGCAAACTGTTTTATTTGTTCAATATTTCGTAACACAGAAGGTGGCAGTGCACAGAGTTACTTGCAAGATGCTCTCAGTGCTTCTGAAGATCTTCTCGGATTTGGCTGCAAAAGGGTAAGCTTATTAAAAAAAGTACATATTCATTTTCAATAAGCAGTTTAAACAGATTATTTACTAGAATGTATTAATTCTGTTAGGTTCTGCAAGCCATCTGACCTGGAAACTGAAGAAGGCGAAGGAGGAGATGGTCCCGGAAAATTATCTAGTGGAACTGGATTAGGTGAAGGAGAGGGCCAAAAAGATGTTTCTGACAGAATTGAAAATCAGGTATATATTATAGCATATTTACTACAAAACATACAATGCACAAGTTAATACTACATATATGTATACAAAATATGTCGTATTATGTTATTTAGACGTTTTTATGTTTTACAGTTATGAATTTTGCGTTTCCATAAGTTTTCACAATTTATTAATTATTGTTCTTATTATCAAATAACAAAGAACTATCAATACGCATATTCGGAGTACAATATATAGGTTTATCACACTTTTACTAAAACATCAGTAGGGTAACGCAGATTTTTTCAAATTGAATATGAACATTTTGAGTAAAGATTACATTTTGTATTCTACCAACGCCTTAGGATCAACTAGAAGAAGCTAATCGTCCGGGTGAAGAGAAAAAAGAAGAAGATAGAGATTGTAAAGAAGAAGAGAAAGGTGTAAACATGACTGATGACTTCGACTCTCATTTGCAAGATGTTGAGAAAAAAGGTAAAGTAATAAAGTGTTCTATTAATAAAGATTGATAAATGTGTAATATATTTTTTATATATATTAATGTGATCATAATATAGATGGCGATGAGTCTGAACAAGAAGACGATGAAGATGATGCTGATAAACAAATGGGCGATATAGATAACGCTGCAGAGAAGTATGATAATACGTAATATTTAAATAGCATTTACTAGTGAACCGTGATACCTATTAAATCCTTTTTCACGTTTCAGACTAGATCAACAAATATGGGGCTCGGAAGATGAAGATGAGCTTGATGATAATCAAGAAAAGAAGGAGAAAGAAGAAAAGGGTCAAGGTGAAAGTACAGGTGAGAAAGAGATGGGCGCTAAAGAGGAAGAACAAGGCACCGACGATGGAACTGAAGGAAAAGAAAAAAAGAAAAAGAAGGATATTAATGAGATGGAAGAACCTGAAATAGACGACGACCATGTATGTATTTAACGCCCAATCAGATAACTTTGTCTGATTTTAAACTTACGTTACGCTAAGATGCAGGAGAAGATTTTATTTATAAGACTTAAATTAGTTAATGACTTATTTTAGGTTGATCCTTATCATGGTAACCATCCACAATTGCCAGAACCGGAAGACCTTGATCTGCCTGACGATATGAATTTAGATGGAGAAGATGGAAATGACGACAAAGTAAGTAAAAGAATGTAACATTTGCTGTTATCTTGTTTTGGTTTCTTGAATATCTGATATCGAATAAAATAAAACAATCAAGTAGTTAAACTTACGAATACAGATTCAAAATAAGATGTAGTATAAGTTTATTTTTGTTTTTCTTCAATATCGCAGGACGGTGAGACCGAAACAGAAAATCCATTTGAAATAGATGTCACTAAAGATGATATCCCTAAAGAGCCAGAAGAAATGGAGCAAGACGACAAAGGTGACGAAACAAAAGAAAATAAACATGGTTTTGAAGTGTCCAGTGATGAGGAAGAAGGTGAAGGAGATGATGAAAAAAATGATGATGCTAACGAACAACAAGTACGTTAATTTATATAAACCAGCTAAAAGTGGTCTTGCCTAACAATGGTTATTCAAATTGCTATAAAATTGAGATAAAAAATTATATAAAACATTCTTAATTGTAATTTTTTCTAAAAAACGCAAGTTAATTTAAAAAAATTAACAAATACATATATTATTTACTTAATTTAACGATTATGTCGTAACTTCATTTTATTTGTTATGACGCAGGAAGAAAATCAGCAAGCCGATGAAGCTGAACCTGATAAAGTTGAGGACGATGATAAAAAGAGCGAAGAAGATGGCGACGTTGACCCTCAAGATGTTCCTCAAGAGTCTGAAGAACCAGAGCACGAAGAACAGAAGGAGGAAGACAAAGATCTACCTAAAAACCCGGATAAGATGGAAGATGAAGAAATAGAACAGAAAAATCGAGAAGCTAATCCTCAAGCTAATCCCTCTAATGACGACCAGTCAGCTGAAGATAAAGCTGAGAATGCCGAGATGGATAGAGGGACCGATGATAACGTAGAAACTAATGCTGAACAAAAGAAAGACGAAGAAACTGCGCCTTTTGTGAGTAACTTTTATATTTTTAATAGTGATAGAAATAAGTAGGGGTATGTATGGAAGATCAAACATACAATCTTATATTCTTTATGAAAAATGCTTTAAAACTCCACTTTGTTCCTGGCACTCTGAAATGGGTTCGAACCCAGAAAAGAGCAGTCGCCCGGATTGGGAAAGGTCGTGGGCTCGAATGCCATCTAATTAAGAATATTTTCCAGTATAGTATTGTGAACGTAAAATTGATCAAAAATAATAAATACAATCTTATATTTTAGGAGCAAGCTCAAGAACAGGTTGGTGAGGAAAAACAATCTATGGGACGTTCTGAACTAGATAAAAGTGAGAAAGGCCATCGCGGTGAGAAGGAAGCTGCTAGTCGAGCTGATCAAGCTCAAGAAAAACAGAATCGGCACGAAAACAAACCCGGCAAAACCGATCAAGAACGTACTTTAGGTGAGGACCAGTTCCGTCTATAACCAAAATAGATCTAATGGTAACTAAAGAATGGTTTTCAAATAATTCTAGACCACGAAAACAAATTAAATTTTAACCTTGTATGCTAATAAATAAACTTAACACCAATATTCGGTTTCTATTTATCATTAGGTAATGTTGATGAGAAGAAACACAAGCACATGCAAACTTTGAATGTGGAGAGAGAAGAAGAAGCGGAGGATGGTGGAGACGGAGATCAGGATGATGAGAAACACGCCGATGCATATCAGCACGTCAAACAACCGAACAATAGCGATCTGCAGGTACGTAACTTGAAGTAGGAAAGCACAAAAGCTGTCTGGATTGAAAGTCGTTTTAAGGGCATTGTTTATGCCTTTTTTGATAACGCATGGGAAAAACACCTTAAGCCTTAAACTACGAGGGTCAAACTGAAAGTTCTTAGAACTGGCCACTTATAAACAATATAATAAAAAAATAATTCTAAAATTTGAAAATATAACACTTTGCCAATATTACTGAGTATATATTTCATTCATTTGTCATTTGTTTTACGATTTGGCGGCAAATTGAAAATTGTCTGTGTCACGTCATCATGAATTTAACACGAGAAAATTTTCGTGCAATGATTTTTTATGACTTTCGATGTCATTTAAGTCAACAAGAAAGTTATGATAGACTACGATTGGCCTTTCACGATGAAGCCCCATCTCGTGCGACTGTTTACAACTGGTTTAATGAGTTTAAACGTGGTCGCACTAATCTCACTGATGATTTACGTGAGGGACGGCCTTCTACGGCGACGACTGAAGATAACATCTGTGTTGTGCGGCGTATGATAGAGACTGACAAAAGAGTGACCTATCAACAGATTCGGACAAGCTTAGGCATCGGTATGAGTCAAGTGCACAAAATCCTCCACGAACATTTAGCGGTCAGGAAGCTTTGCGCCCGGTGGATACCTCATAATTTGACTGAGGCTCAAAAACTCCATCGTGTGGATTGGTGTCGTAAAATGATTGAAAGATTTAACGGAGGTGACTCAAATGCTGTGTTCGACATACTAACAGGTGACGAAAGCTGGATTTACTGTTATGATCCTAAAACCAAAAGACAATCTGCTCAGTGGGTGTTTCCTTTCGAGGAGTTGCCAACTAAAGTGAAGAGAGATCGAAGTGCGGGAAAAAAAATGGTGGCCTCGTTCTTTGGAAGGATAGGTCATTTTGCAACAATTGTGTTAGAGGATCAAAAAACAGTTTCTGCAGAATGGTACACTACCAATTGTTTGCCACTTGTCTTGGAAAAAGTTCGAGAGAAACGACCTCGCAGTAGGATCCTCCTTCACCACAACAACGCCTCGTCGCACACCGCCAAGCGAACGATCGACTATTTGGCGACATCAAACGTTGAATTACTGGGTCACCCGCCGTATAGCCCCGACCTCGCGCCTTGTGATTTTTATTTATTTCCAAAAATTAAAGAAAAACTTAAAGGAAAGCGGTTTATGAATGCTGAAGAAGCGGTGGCTGCGTATCGCGATGCCATTGAAGAGACCCCTAAGGACGAGTGGGCAAAGTGCTTTTCCAGTGGTTCCATCGCATGCAGCGGTGTATTGACGTGAATGGACAATATTTTGAAAAGATATAATAAAACTAATAACTGGCTAATGTAATCAGTTTTTGATTTTCTAAGAACTTTCAGTTTGACCCTCGTATCATTGGCTCAGACAAATACATCATGGATTGCGATGATGATTATTTTTTTAAAAGATATTAAATCTATACAAATATTATAAAGAGGTTAATTTTTTAAATATGTTTTTTTTAAGTGGGTAATTTTCCGAAACATTGACAGATCACAAAAATTCTTTCACCCACTTCACACGCGGGTTACATAGACATACTTAACGCGGACGCGGTCGCAGGAAAACGGCTAATTATATATAGACATCGTGTATCATTTTTTACAATGTTTACTTTTTCACAAAATAAAAATACAAACTATACAAACAAACAATGACATATTGCTGTATTAAAGAATAAATACAAATATATATAATAAGAACAAAAAAAAAAATAGTAAGTGGTAGTTAAAAAACTGAAGTGCAAATATTAACGCCCACCTCCAGGCAGAAAATAATGTTATGTTCCTTATTCTAGTTTTTTTAATTAGTTGACTAGAAGAGATCACTAGCGATAAGTACGTTCATATAAGTATTTTCACTATATAATTGTATTTTTTTGTTTTGTGTGTACAATAAAGAATATTGTATTTATGTATTTTATTTTGTATAGGCTACGAGAGAAACTACTTAATCAGATTGCCGATTGACGATGTTTATCAGTTTTATTATATCTATAGGCAATCGATGCAGCGACTAAAGAGCAAGCTGATCAACAACCAACCCTTCAACAAGAAGATGAAGAGGCTGAGGAACTCAAAGAAGATGAACAAGTCGCAATGGATGTCGACGAAGAGGAATTGCAAGTATGTGTTTCGTATAATTACATTTAATATTCTGGACCTTACTTGTCAATCACTTTTTTTTAAATCTAAATTGTAGATAAAGAAGGAATAGGGTTGCTTTTAATTCATAATTTTGTCGATATATCTAAAGTTTGTTTAAATTGTATTAAAATTATTATTAATTAAATGTGATTTTAAATATTATTAAACCGTTTCTGTGTATATATCATCACTGGTCTATTGATGTCCTCATTGCTGGGACCGGTTTCTTTAAATAGGGACCAGCAGCTTCGGGAAGCACGTTAATACCTTCCGAAGTACGTAAGAAGCTTAACCTACTTATGAAAGTTTATTTTACTTGCAGGTAGAAAAATCTGAAGAACTAAAGCCAGAAAAGTTTAAAAATGGCACAGATAAAGATAAAGAGAACGCTGGTAGTAAGAAAGAGGATGGTGAAGAGGTCTCCGGTGAGACTGGTCTGGAAATTGAAGGGGATGCGATACTTACAGCGCATGTGCCGAGAGGAAATGATACCACGTATCACACCAGGTTTGTTGATTGGGAATATCACGTTAATCATAAACAATAATAATTGTTTTTTTTTAATGGCCTTTTCCGTTTTACACAGAAATTCTGCCAACGTCCCGTAGTGGGAGAGACACTTATGAAATTGATCAGTAATGATTTTGTAATGATTTTAATTAGTTTTCTTCCTTGACTACACTCTTCCCTGACCTAAAGACAAAATAATTGATAATAAGTAACAACCACGAGCAGTTACACGTCGGAATATTTGGCGCGCTTGTCGTGACGTCAGAGTACTCGACTAGAGATATGACATTATAAATCAATATAAAAAAAAAATTAAACAAACACATACATTGGTCAGACTCCAAGATGAGTAACTTAAGTCCCCGTTATGTAATATTTGAGACAACGAAGGTACCATAACACCCAGATCTGAGACAATATAGAAAAGTTCATTTTCTACATTGACCCGACCGGGAATCGAACCTTCAGAGATGGACGACACCTTAAAACCGGCGTGCGAACCACTCGGCTACGGAGGTATAATACGGATTTTGAGTGATTGATTATTATTCAATTACCCAAATCGATTAACAACTAATCGATTTTAATAAAGTATTATAGATTTTTTAATAATCAGATAATTTACCAAATTGGTGATATAAAAATTAGTCTAAAATATAATTTAAATTGTAATCTGTTTATTTTGCGACATAGTACATTGATGTTATTGCATCGATGTTAACTATTTGTAACAACGACATCCGACATGATGTATCATGGTAAAATTAACTACTCTCCAAACTAAGAAATTGTTTTTTTTTATGTGTAAAATGGAGTTATTCTTGCCACCAAAATCGTTGACACGGTTCCTTCAGATCTTTGTATGTTTTATAGTTTCAGCCTTACCCATACTGGCCATTCTTAATGTTATTTTAGTTAACCCTGTAAAGAGGAAAGATTTGATATTTTTTTTTTATTACATTGAATTGACTCTGAAACTATTGGACCACTTTAAAAATTCTTTCGCCTCCGACAGCTACATCACACGCGGATGATATATGTTATAATTTACGCAAAGTCGCGGGTAAACAGCTAGTCTTTGATAAGAATACAATAATAATGTTCGACTACTCGTTATAATTATTTAAATACCGGTGTAGACAGTAAACTGAAATAAATATATACATTTTTCTGGTATTTTATAATATTGTTTAAATTAATTAGGAAAAAACAAATAGTTTATCACGCACCTCTTACTCATATCAGAACTTAGAGAATGAGACCTTATGCATACATAGAACAATATTTGGTGGAGACGGGCGTGACGTCATAGCGACGCCATGAAAGAAATTGGCGTTTTCGTGGGAAATTTTGAAAATTAAATTTATATTTTAACTTTTTATATGAATGATACTTTATAAAAATATTTTTTGATGTATTTTATGTAAAATCTATAAAATAAAAATATAAAAAGTTGTCTTCGCCCTTATTACAGATTAGAAGAATCTCAACACATGCAGACTGAAGAGATGTCAGTAGATCAGTATATGAGTATTCGCGAATGGTTAGTGAGCGGGCATTCAGTAGGATACAGTTCAGCTAACGTCTGGAGAACATTATGGCAGGAGGCCGCCCCTGCAGCTAGAGCTCTGTGCGAGAAATTGAGACTAGTTCTAGAACCTACTGGACGATCTAGGAGGGCCGGTGAGTTAATTTAGAATACAATAAAGTTATTCTGACAACACGATACGATACGATAGACATAACGACGCTGGAAAGCAAACACGTAGTAACTCGCAAAACCAAAATTGTTTTTCAGAATAGAAAAACTTTGTTCCCTAGTAAATTTATACAGAAATAAGATACATTTTTTGGAAAAATATTAATACCCAGTGTCTGTACCCACATTCAGCGGGGGTCTGGTGCATATTGGATCGCTTGATGGCGTGATACTTAAATAATTTTAATTGGTCTATATTCACCGCACTTCGAATTTCAGCCTTCTACGCAAGTATATTAGTGAGCCACATCAGTTGTATCTATCTTATTCTAAAGCGCAAAAGGCATGTGATTAGATTTCAACAATCAACAATCGAAACATTTTAATAATTTACTGAAAAATTAATATTTTTAAATTTCAAATAGACAAGAATATAAATATACCCGATTATTATGTCACAAATTAGCGAACTATCAGCGGTTATTATTGTCAATATTATGCATTTACTAGTGGCCGCCAGCGACTTCGTCCGCGTTTTCCATTATTTCTTCGCTCCTAATAGTTGCAGCGTGATGTTATATAGCCTAAAGCCTTCCTCGATAAATGGTCTATTCAACACAAAAAGAATTTTTCAATTCAAACCAGTAGTTCCTGAGATTAGCGCGTTTATACAAACAAACAAACACTTCAGCTTTATAATATTAGTATAGATATATCGGGTCCAGGATGATAAAATAGTAACAAAACGAAATTATTAACTTGACATTAACAAACCCTAGGTTCCTGTTTTTTTATAAGACATGTCTTTTTCGTGTGTTCGTCTTTGTAGCTACCTGAAGACTAATGTCATTAAACCAATGTGTTTCTCAAAAATCAATTTCGACTAATATATTTCTATACCGATTTCTATGATTCTTTTTTATGGAATACTTAATACTGTTAACTTTTTTAATTAGGGATGACTGAGAGTGTTATAAACGTAAGAGTAGACAATAGACAAATACAATCAGAAAGCTTCGAACTGCTAAGCTATCGGGAGTTACACGTGTTATTGTGAGTCAACCATAAAAGATAGACATATGTTGTCGTGGGATATTTTTTATATAATTTTAAGGAGAACATTTCCGTCATACATGATTTCTGGGTAGCTTTAACCATTAAGGTTGCACACGCGACGGAAGCTTAAAAAATGGAGTAACTGCTCCCGTTTTCCCAACATTTCCCTTCACTGCTCTGCTCCTATTGATTGTAGCGTGATGAAAAGTATACTATAACCAGCTCAGGAGTATGAAAAATAATTGTACCAAGTTTCGTTAAAATCCGTCGAGTAGTCTTTGTTTCTATAACGGTTATACAGACAGACAGACAGACAAAAATTTTACTGATTGCATTTTCGGCATCAGTATCGATCCCTTATCACCCCCTGATAGTTATTTTGATAATATATTTCATGTACAGAATTGACCTCTCTACAGATTTATTATAAGTATAGATATAGTAAGTATTCAATATATTTATTTGAATAATTTTCTTCCTTATAAGGTGACTTCCGTACCGGTCGCGCCATAAACATGCGTCGTGTGATTCCGTACATCGCTTCGCACTTCCGCAAAGACCGCATCTGGCTGCGACGAACGAAACCGGCCAAGCGGGAATACAAGATAGCCATCGCAGTCGACGACTCTAGCTCGATGTCAGATAATAGGAGCAAAGAATTGGCATTCGAGAGTCTTGCGCTCGTATCGCAGGTTTGTTTCTTTATGTATATACTGTTAAGTGGGGAAAAGATCGACTACTACTTGCCAATAGTTCGTGCTGCCGCACGAATAGCCGATTTCAATACGGGAATCCCTATCTGTCAAAAAAGTTGTCATTGTCGGGTTATCATTCTTGTAAAACTATTGACAATGAGATTAAATATATAAATTGAAAAATAAAATGCTCTTATTAGTAAATAAAATTACGACAGGAGGCCCTTTAAAAAATCCACTCTAACTTTATCCCCATGGGGGTTGAATTGATCAAAATCCTATTTAAGCGGACATGTTCATCATAGTAGCTCCAATTTTTAATTTGAGTTCAATCAGTCGAAAATCTAAGAACATTTAAACAAACTTTCATCTCTTATTTTATCCTCTTAGGGTTGAAATTTATCAAAATCCTTTCTTAGGCGATGCCTACGTCATAGTAGCTTCATGCATGCCAAGTCTCAACCCGATCGGTTTAAAATTGACAAAGTTTCATCTCCTATTTTAATCTCCTTGGGGGTAGAATTGATCAAAATCTTTTCTTAACAGACGCCTACGTCATAACTTTTACCTGCATGCCAAATTCCAGCCCGATCCGTCCAGTGGTTTGAGTTATATATATTTAGATATATACAAAGAAATCTAGAGAAATTTAAGATTTATTTATATCACATTACATTAACATTTTAGAGAATTTATTATTAATAACATATCTTACTGTTTTGCATGCATTATTTTTTGTTTCTTATTTTGGTATATCTCAAATTTTAATATGTTTTTTTTAGCATTGCCCTAATAGGAAAATATATATTTTAAAAATAAACCTACAGGAAACAACAACAATAAGCAACATTTTGAGGGAAGTATAGTATGCTAATAGCACGTTATTTTTGTAGGCATTGAATCTCCTCGAGTCCGGCGATCTTGCAGTATTAAGTTTTGGCGAAAAACCGAATCTTCTCCACCCGTTCACTGAACAGTTCTCAGAACACTCTGGCTCAAAGATCCTTGAGCAGTTACGTTTCGAACAAAAGAAGACAAGAATCGCCCAACTAATCGACTTTTGCACCGTTCTATTTGAAGAACAGGCGATCAGAAGTGACGCTTTGAACGCAAAGTTGTTGGTTGTGGTTAGCGATGGCAGGGGAATATTCTCAGAGGGTGAAACTAGAGTCATACAATCCGTAAGAAGAGCAAGACAACAAGGAATATTCTTAGTTTACGTAATAATTGACAACCCTGATAATAAGGTAAGTGAAATTAACCAGAGGCCCAATTGTGTATTTTTAAAATATCATCGCAATCTCTTTCAATTTGACATTTGAATGATATACACAAACTTCACGTTACAACTATTTGACATGCGATAGCGAGTTTATTTTATGCCATGTTGAAATGACCTTTATGAATTTGTTTTAGGATTCAATAATGGACATCAGACGGCCCCTGTTAGACCCAGTGGCCAATACTCTGACTGGATTCGTGCCGTACCTCGACACGTTCCCCTTTCCGTTTTACTTGATTCTACGAGATATGTCTGCGTTGCCAACAGTATTGGGTGATGCCCTGAGACAGTGGTTCGAATTGGCTGCTAATACCGCTGGTTAATTAGTTATTTAAAAGATAAATGTAGTGATAATGACTGCTTGTTAAAAAAGTTATGGAAACTAATCGAAATCAAGATAACAAAGTTTGACGATTTTATCTCTTATTACAGTTATATAAAGAAATGTAAATGGTGCTGTGAATGAAAAAAAATAGGATTAGTTAAGTAATAAAAAAATGTGTTAAGCATAAAAAAGTTTTTTACTAAAGAAAAATAAAGTGTTTATTATTATTTACTGTATTTTGTTCCTTTTTGAATACTGAAATTATATCAATTTGATCCCAATTTGCTACGGTGAGTTGCTTCATACGCGGATGTCCTAAGGCTATAGTTTATGCGGGCGGAGCCGCGGGATAACTGCTAGTGTAATATGTTTTGTTACGATTATCACGGTTGATATTTTTTAGATAGAAATAAAACACATAACTAAAAAATATTATTGTATATTTGTCAACTGAAAATTAAACAATATCTTAACATATTTCGCTTAGCAATATTTTGGGAATTAACAAACAGTGATCGAGTAACGTATTGAAATTTAGGCCTAAGTTATACATTTTAATAATAAATAAACTAGACCTAGTAAGCCGACTGAAAGTCGTTGGATATGATTCTTTTTTTGTAAACAAGCTATCTATAATTAAATACTTATAAAATAAAAACCGCCTTTCCAACGAGAAATAGATTAATGCACCTCTTACAACTAAAATTCTAATATACATATACAATTGCTACATAGCATTTGTTTACATAATAAAATTAGGTCTATCTGGAAATGTCTTTCTTTTCGCGCAATATGTGAAAACAAAGACTCATAAAACGTTAAAATGTACGTACGGACAGGTCAGATTAATCACAAAAGGGCATTTTATATCAATTTATGTTCGAAAATGGTTCAAATTTGACTTATAGTAACGTGATGTGCCACTGTGTATATTGAACACAATTATTTTAATTTATACCGATATCTAGCAAGTTCCGTACTTGATAATTCACATTACAATAGTAATGTAATGAATCATGAAACTAGTTTCATTGAATTATTTAAATTAGCATTTGCACGTGTAAATGTCCAGTTTTGCAATGCATACATTAGTTTTACGACACTAAAGTAGTTTCGTGTTATGATATTTTCGATGAAACTAGTTTCACGCAGCTAATTTCACCCAGATTTACACGGTGACTGTTGTGCATAGTAAAGCTTGGATGGTGGAGCCAGTGTCTCAAGACATCATTTTGATTGAACGCTATTACGAAAGTAGTTTCAAATTGCCCAGATTAGTTTATGAAACGAATTTATTCGTAATATAAGTTCGGCTTGACTGCAACACATATTATCGCAGACAAATGCATCTGCACAGTTGGTCACTAATCTCGCAAGAAATACATTTTACACGTATTTTAGCCCTCTACGGAGCAAACTCAGGAGGTATTGATACTTCTGGCAGGTTTCGGAATTGAAAAAAATACAAAATTATTCTCAATAAAACAAGTTTTTTACTTTTCAAAAGGCGAAATGCTCTGAACCTGAATCAGAAACGAAAACATATTTAAGTGACGTTTAAGTATAGTTTGCGTCTCAAACTTAACTAGCTTAACTTTAAATACTCAATTCAAAAACTGGGTGTAAGCGTGAAAGTTGCTAGATATCGTAGTTTCAAAGACGTCTCACTTAACACCTCGAGGTAAGCTAAATGTTTTTGAGTACATGATGCTTGGATAGTATCGATAATTTTTAATTACATTTATAGTTTTTAGATAATTTTGGTACGGGAAATAACTCTCTTTTTCTTATATCCATCTACATTACTTTGCATATATTTTGCATTAGATTAAATGTTTTTCAAAATGAAGAAAGTTGTCTATGAAATATAGGTATGTATAGTCCGAAAAAATATCGTCGAGATTTGAACTATAATAACCTTGTTCTGTATCGGATTTTCAAACAATAGTTTATTTGTACAATTTGTTTATATAAATGCAAATCGAACTAGCCGAATATTATATTTAAATAATAACAATTCCAATACAAACCTGATAAAGTACATATTTCTTCACATAGTAATAACATTTGTAAGAACTACATATCCATCTCTAGTTAGCTTACCCATACTTTAAAAATCAATCAGCAATATTCAACAATTGAAATAGCAAAATAGAAAACTATAATATAACGTTCTTATATAATTAAAAAATATTCTAACTCATGTAAATATTAAATATTGTATTGACATAACCGTACAGCTATCTTAAACTAAACGTTAGAATATCGATTAGAACCATGATAACGGTGTTACAGTAAATAAATACGACTTTAAATTGATAAGAAAAATAATCAAAGCCCCGGTATGAAACTTTTGAGCGAGTTTTAAAGCTGATAACTCCCCGAAATACCTACAGTTCGTCCAAAACTAGGTTAACATTACAAATACCTACTACAAATTGTGGATACATTAATATCTAGCTTCTCTAACTCGAATAAAAAAGGCATTCATGGTGAAATACAATTGGATACTGTTTTTTTTTTAATCACTACAAAATTAAAATTCCACTGTGTAATGCATGCCTAATTGGACCCGTATCATCTAAATTCGGTGACAACATGACGATGCCATTATGCTTTATTAATTTCAAACAACCACCTACAATCGCTAGAAATAAACTATTAAAATAAAGGGACAATAGTGAACTATGCAATTTAAGATGTCACAAGAAAATTACGATTAACTCGCACAAGTCCATAGTCCAAATGGAGGTTGAAATATTCTTTATTCCACTTTAAGAATTTCGAGATGTCCTCGGACGAAGTTGGGTATAGAAGCTAGTATAAAATAATGATCCGTAGCCCAAAAACAATAGTTGTAATGCCCTGAAAAATGGGTTTAAGAAAGAGTTTTCTATATAAAAAAAAATACATAAAACTTTAAACCTGTATTTAGACAGTGGTGCAATTTTCACTTGGCCGACTCCTTGGACGAATGGTTGTTTGTCTCTTCAGTCTTATCACCATCACCGTAGAACTTTGGCTGAAAATTGTAAATATGACACATGGATTATTCAATGATCGAAATTTCGAAACACCAATGACTTTGGGGTCTTAGAACGTGTAGATTATTTAGAGGGACTATCAGAGTCGCGCTAATGAATTTATGATCTATATACACTAATATTATATATATATATCGCACGTTGAGAATGACAATGTCAATAATCAAAAACGACGTATTTTATACTTTTGGCAAAATTTTTCTTTGTTATGTATAATTTTTTTATAAGCCTTTTTAAAATACATTGACTTTTAATAGCAAGAACCCCGGAGGGACGCTTGCAAGCTGCTCTTTAAGACTGATAATTTTGATTTCGTTTCATGTGAATATCTTTTTGGCAGGTTATAAAATGCTGTTGAAATTTACTACTACTCATAAGTTTAATAATGAAATAATGGTAATAAATGCAGTGAATTTTTTAATTGCAAAGCAAATCACTAAAACTGTCATTTTTAAAATTTATTTCTTTAAAAGTAAATTCAATTTATTTCTTTGTGCTTCTGGCTTGTAATTGTGCGCGTGCGCAAGTGTTAGTGCTTATAGTAGTTAGGTAGTTTTATGACTTATGAATCTATCATCACAAACAGTCATTACATTTGCTATGATCTCTTCATGATCTCTTTTATAAAATTTTCTTATATTTATAGTATTCTCTTTTCTAAATATACATCATACTTTGCTAATCTAAATGAAACTAGCGATTATGGATAACTACGAGTTAGAGAAAAAACATAGCAAACAAAGAAAAAATGCATAAAAAATGAAAATATTCCAATAAATCATCACAACAAACCAAACCAAACCCTCTTTGATAAAGTACCTAGTAAATAATAATTCAAACACGGAAATGGTATAGTCAAAGTGAGAAATCAGTCAACACACAAAAAATCCACAGCTCGTTTCAGTTATACATGTTAACCCAATTAATGGTAATAATGGAGGAACAACACAAAAAAGTATACAGATAATAAAACTGTGATATGTATTGTAAGCATGATCGGAACTCTAGCTAGTCCACTTACACACTCTCACTTTGTACTATACTGCTGTTACTTTATTGTTGTATCCGTTTTTGACACCGTTATAACTTGTGAACCCCTAAAAATAAAGTATCGTATTTAATTACAAGGAAAAAAGCGAATTAACAGTACCTTATATTTTTTTAAATATCCACATAATTATATAATATCAAGAAGGAGGTCGTAGTTTATTTATAAAAATTAAAACCTTATGCTCATGACTTTAAAAGGTGGACATTTCCTATGAGACCTTATTTTGTAAGCCCGTGAGTTTTGATGACATTGTAAAATAATACATAGGGCAGTTACCTCGTCGTGTTTCTCCTCTGCATTTGGTCTCTCGTCATCGTCGTCGCTGTCGTCGTCCTGCGACGAATCCCCACCGGAGCCTGCGTTATCGCCTGCTTTCACTGCAACAGTTTAGTTTTTATGAGGAATAATCTAAATATATGGACGCTGATGAACAATAATGGATTAACTAATTCTCAATAAAAATACTTGAAGAATCCACTTTGTCCTTGACACTTTGAGATAGGACATGAAACTATGCCTTTCGCAATCCGGGCGACTGTTCTAACCACTTGTTACTTTGTTGTTTGGGTGGATTGCCTGATAATTGATGAAAATACGTTCTGTAGTAGCGAAAGTAACAAGTGCTTGAAAAATGCTTAAATCCTGTTAGGTCCTGTGTAGCTAAGTGGTTAGAGTCATAAAAGTCATAAATTCAAGTCCCATCTCAGAGTGCCGGGGCAAAATGGATTTTTTAAGCATTTTTCATTAAGAATATTTTTCAGTATAGCATTGTGGGTTAAAAACTACTGCTTATCAGCGTCTATCTAAATATAATCAAGATAGCTTAGGCAATACACAGACGAAAAATGATAGTTTTACTTCATATCAGTATTAATTTTAAAATTAAAATCTGGATATTGTTTTAAATTTTCACGGTTATCAACATAAAAATGATTGTTACCATGTGCCTTGTCCTTGTTACAAGCGTCATAAAATAGGTGTGTGTACCTAATACCCGATTATTTTTTCAATTATATTCAGATAGGGGCAGATGAATAGAGAATTGTGTGAATTAGGAAAACTATTTGTGAATTATCGAATATGAATTCAAACAAAATTGAATTAATATGACGTTGGATTCAGATAAGGACGCGTCACATCATAAAAAAAGACGATATATCAGTAGGACACTCGCGATTCATACTCAAACATTCAACATAATTAATATATAAATCTTTTGGTCGAAAAACAACTTCGATTCCGTTTTTTTTTCTGTAGACATCGTTTATAATATATCTATTCGAAATGATATGCCATTACATCCAAGTTTTTTATTTACTTTATTTGATCTATACACAAACTATATACTCTAGCTATCGGTTATTTAGGAAAAGCATACAAGGAACGCAACTTGTTTAAGTAAATCAATATAATTAAGGGATAAGATACCTTTATTATACAAAGAAAAAACATGTAGCGCTTGCGTCGGCTCGTTGAATTTGCCATAGGCCACGGTGGCTTTGATTCTAGCGGCAGGGATAGTGTGTAACGCATTTTTGATGGGTCAAAAAAAAAACAAAAGGGAAATAGACGAAATTTCATTTTCGGAGCAATAGAATAGACCTTCAGATATCATATCAAGTCAGACAAGCAGTAGGTCTAACTACCTAAGACAGATTAATTTTTTTTGATAACGCAGGGGAAAAGCACCTTAAGCCTTAACCCAGGGCTCTCTGACTCCGCCGCAGTCTTTAATAGGACAGGCTTAATGCGAGGCCGGCCTACCAGGAAAAACTCGCTGCCAGTACCATCCTACCCCCTACTCGCGAACGCAATCGCGAGCGATCGACATTGCAATAAGGATGACGACAAATTTTTGTGTTTGTCCGTCAGGTAGACTGTTTAAAAATATTAAACACGCATTTTTTGATTCTTTTCATAATTATTAAATTACGACGATACATTGAGTTAAAATGTCACATGACGTCACGCTTTGGTTTATTTTCTACAAAACCGTGATTTGTTATCTATTTCTTGTTAAATTTAAGTAAAAAAAAATACGTACGAGTATCTAATATTTTTCTATTATCTATCTGACTGGCTAAATAGGATCTCTTTTTTACCCACTTGTCATCCCTATTGCGCCGCTCCGCAATCTTGATTGGCTCACTAGCATACTCTGGCGTTAGTTGGATACACTAACCAAGAGTACGAAACGGCACAATTTCGATTGGTCCCGATTGCGTTCGATAGTAAGTGGAGCTATAATAATAATGGCAAAAAAACACGGGAAAGAGTCCAGCCCCAAAACACAGAAAACTTACCTGGATTGGGTGCGTTGGCAGCGGGCTGGTTTGGTGGACGGGCACGTTCCCTGTTCAGTTCGTCGTAGCACTGAAGGCATACGCGCAGTGGCTTATCGCTCTGCCCCCTCAGCACGAACCGTTTCGACGAACATGGCCCACACACGACAGACCCACACTTACGGCAGTGATGCTGTTAAGTGTATCGATCATTTTATTATTGCAATACGCATTATTTTCGTAATGACATAATTGATGTAAATGTTGTTACTTCCGATAAGGTATGTTTCTATCGCATGTTGTTCTTGTCAGCCAATAGAGGTTTTGAACGAGTGGTAGAGAAAAAATTTTTTGAAAGTGCTTGTGATAAGCTTTAAAAATATTTTTGTAACAGAGTGGTTCATTCATATACAGGTTTAAAGTTTAATTCAGATAAGTCGATATCTTTGAGGACCGGGTTCGATTCTTGGTCCTCTTGATGTTTAAAATTAATGTGAGCAATGTGATTCTGGTGTAATATTTACTATGTAATTTTTTATTGGCTGTACATACCCTCCTGTTGAGAACAGTGAATTGTGTTTTCTTGCAGTGCATACAGACAGATGCTTCATTGTCTGGAACCCATACAGCTGCATGCTCTGATGGGGGTTGTTTTCCACCTAAAGCAAAGAATAGCATATAAGATAAATTATTTCAATATAAATATTTATTTTAAGAAATTTAATTTTACACTTTGTACAGTAATGGTTATTTAATTAAATAAACTACTCAATTTTAAAAGTTTAGTGATATTTTTACTTACTCTTTCTTAACAAATCTTCTATACATTTCTCTATATGAGCCATCCATTCTTCTTTCTCAGTTGCTGTTGCAGCATATACAGCAAATGACTTTGACGCCGTACATATTAACCAACCATTGCGATATTCTACAAAATATTTTAGACTTTTCAAAATTTCAGTTCATTTAAATGCATAAAAAAAAGCTATATTAGTGTATCCATTTTTTGTTTTTCGTTTTGTTGAAGATAAAAAAAATGGTATTATTTCTCATTTTCAGTTGTTTCTCTTTATTACGATTGTTTAAAAAGTCTGTTTATTTTTTTTTAAATTGCCATTTAATTTCTTTCTTTTTTTTTATAATAGAAGTTATTACCGATCCGCATTACTTACTTCTAACTTAAAACAAAAGGTCACCTTTTTCTGTATTTATACATGCATATTGTTATGAAACAAGAATTTTAATGGTTACAAGTATAAAATTGTAGGTCCACAGTTATAGAATGGAAAAAGTAAAGAATATAAATGGAAAGCACTAAAAAGTTTATCGATATGAGCAAAATTAGTGATATGAATCTAAAGAATGAAAACGATACGAAAGGTTAGTTACGACAATATACCAGATAAACATTTTCTGTAATGGTAGTATTTCTATCCTAACCTAACCCACTATTCTTGAAGCAATTCGTTTTCAGCGGCGGCCTTAGGGGGTGGTGAACGGGGCAATCGTCCGAGGCCTCGCTCTTCTGGGGCCTCACGCAACAAGCCAAGCAAATTTAAAAATACATATATTTTTATAACAATATTTTTTAAATTTTAAACTTTTTATTTTGACCCTTAATTATTTATGCAGGTTATATATTATAACATAGCAGTTAATTAAAATAAAGTTAGTTAACTAAATCACTCATTCTAAACATAATTGAATACCCCTTTCGAACCACTTGAAGATCCGTTTTTTAATAACATAATACTTTGTATAGCTTAAGCATTCTCCTCGAACATGACAAATACTTTACCCAAACAGCAAGACCTATTTTCGAATCACATACTTTTCACAAAGGACAAAGGGCCTCGCAAAGACCTGCCAACCGGAGCCTCGCAATGGCTAAGGCCGCCCCTGTTCGTTTTTATTGGGGTCGCAGTTCTAACTCAACCCAATATATTATTCTGATAACAGTTCGTTTCTTAAGTCATATAGTCAGTTTTCTTTTATGTTGTTCCCTAAATTGAAAAATAGTTAATCAAACAAAAAAGTATCATTTCAATCCAATGTCTAATTTACGAGAAATTTGTTGAAAACATATAGACACACATACATAGTATAGCACAAGCACACGTTTCTTCGAATTTTATACGAAAATTCAAAACAAGTTTATTTACATTTACTAAAGTATGTAGGTATCACTTTGTTCGATAAGTTTTTGCCAACTTGTTGATAGGGACATGATCCCATTGCTATAGAAATTTTGGGGGTTCTAATAAAAAATTCGCAACAAGTGGTTTTGCCAGTCCTTGCTTAATGTTAAACTTGATACTGAATAAAGAATTCTGAAGAGACCGAAAGAGGTAGAAAACTGAAGGGCAGGACTATACGGCGGATGCATTAACACCACCCAGCCAAACTCCCTTAATATTTGATGAGTGGCAAAAGATGTGTGAGGTCATTATCATGATGAAAACCACACTCCTTCTATTGATTAATTCTGGCCGGTTTCTCTCAACTTCTAGCTATAATCTCAGCAGTTGTTCACTGTAGAGTTCAGAATCGATGGTCCTGCCTGTCGGTAATAACTCATAATGAATAATGTCCTTCCAATCCCACCATACACACAGCATCACCTTGTTGCAAGTTAACCCAGGATTCGCCACAGACTATGAAGCCTGACCGACTTTCTCGCACGTTCTTGTCTTATGTGATCAACTTTTAGTCACCAGTTATCAACTTCTTCAAAAATGTTTCAGTTTCATTACGCCGTAATAAAGAATCACAAAGGTCTATTACCCAACGTTTTTCAAATGCGCCGCAACCGTTTGTGGTCAAGCCCCAGTTCTTCAGCTACGCTATAACAGGGCGACCTGAGCGACTTGCATTTTTAAGATCAAAATTTCTGGACTGAAAATTGTGCTACTCTCAAAGAAACTGCACTGTCCATAAAAAAAGGCAAAAAGGCTTTTGTTGTCTTTTTTTAAGTCGGTTAATGACGTGAATACACTAGTAAACTGAAGGCCTTTTTTTTAAAGTGGTTAAAAAGCAGGTCATCAATTTTAACTCTGTGCATTGGAATTTTTTTACCCTTTTCGTAAGTAGCATAAATTTTAATAGTCTATATCTTCAAAACTACTGGATTGATTTTGATGAAACTTATAGTATACCCTATTTCAACTTAGGGTATACTATAAGTTAAGCAATTAAACAAAAAATAATCATTGCAATCCAACATCTAGTTTGTGAGATATCCATGGACAAGCATATATACATCTATAATTTCAAAAAACTCACTCAAAACAACATATATCAATATTATGCAATTCCAACAAAATTACATACAAACACACCTTGAATTGATAACCTTCTGTTTTTTGAAGTCAGTTAAAAGTATCTAAGAAGACATCAATGCCATCTACTTGCTCATGAGAAACCACCTTTCTAAGAAAGTAAATCTACCTGAGATGAATATTTTTCAAACTTATTATATATTCTTTCAATTTTTTTCCTTTATCAGTGGTATAGGGTATACTTAATTTTGTACTAATTATGGTGTCATAAAGACCTTCATGTCATGAAAGTTACTCCTGTATTTAACACTTTCTTATACATTAATATCAAAACTAAATTTCATTCGCTATCTATATATAAATACTGCAGACACATATTACTTGACAAACTCATGTCAACATCTAAATCAATTGTTTCAATATACAAGAAACAGGCTAAACTTAATTAAAGATGAAATTAGTGAAAAGGTAAGTAGCACTTTTATGTTACTAATGCTATTAACAAGGCCTAAAGGTCAAAGTAATTACTTCCTTTTGCATGAAATCAACGCAAATGACACTATCTATAAATATGATAACATATTGTAGAACAGTGATTCATTTGGATAATGTGAGTCGCATAACATTATTTCTGCATTGGAAGTTGTATCAAATGGATTGATGGTGATTATGTTGTCACAACTAGACTTAATGTTAATCCTGACAATTATTCACTTCTGAAAACTATAGATAAAGAAATTTAACTTGTTATAGGAGTATAGAAATATTTCTTAGATTACTTGTGACAACAGATAATATTAAAGGAATTAAATATAAGTTTTTTCCAGCTTAGATTGGTAGTGTTGTACTGAATTGACTCTATTATAGAATTTACCAAATCATTTTAAGAATTCAAATTAACATGTAGTATTTATTAGTAATGCATTAAGCAAAATAATACAAAAATATTTTTTAACTATACATGGTCCAAGTTTATTTTTGGTAAGTAAATTAATAATAATTATCGTCAGAATACACGAAATAAAATTTAAATTGGCCTTACGTCCTTCATCCTTAAGTGACTCCAACTTCACCTCTTCTAATGGAATAACATGTTGTTTGTTGTATTTCTTTTTGTTGATTACAATGTTTCCATAAACAAGTATATCATTAAACAGAAAGAATTGACGAGCTTTCGGTTTCTTTCTACACATTTTTGTCAGGACACCTTCTCCCACAAGGACTCTGCCTTGTTCTGCCAGGGGCTACATAGAAATATATCAGATTATATACAAAAAATCATAATTACTTAAAAAATATAACCTATTAGAATCATACATTTTATATATAATCCCAAACAAGTTCTCAGTTAATATATTCATGATAAATACAGCATATAACTATATATCTTTTAGGACTTAGAAATACTATCTTGAAATGTAGTAATATCAACAATTCATAAATAAAATCAATATAAAAATATCATTACTGATAAAAGAATATATCAGCAGCATGATACGGTCATGGACAATATAGGCACTAAGCACTTAGCACTATCTTTGCGCGTTTTTGGTTGATAAGGTACAGCCAGTGTAAATAGTAATTGAATAAAAATGATTAATCCTTCTCACCTGTCCTGAACTTCCAAAGCAGTTTTCAACCATAGCAATTCTCCTAGCATTGGCTTCACTATTTACTGTAAAAGCAAAATATACATAGAATTTCACAGCTAACATAAAATCTTGACGTCAAAAGAAAGTGAACAGGCAAACAATGACAATGATCACACATTAAAAATATTGCAGTACAGAAAAGGTTTGTAATACGGTCTAACGAGATATATTCAATGGTTACTTTATAAACAATAAAATCTACCTAAACGATCCACCATTCTAAAGAAATTTTAAATTTAGTAAAAGAATGCAAAAGAGACGATTCAGAAAATGTGTCATTCACAAGAAATAGTTGCCAACTACATAAACATGGATTACCACTACTGTTAGATACAAAATCTTCTAAATGAATCATATCTTTGTAGAAAATACCACTAAATTACTACATTTTTTTTCATCAATAAATGTAAAATGTATTTCAGAAAGTAAGATGATTTTTTTTTACCAACTTATTACTCACTTAACTAACTTACAGCTTAATTTTAGGATACTGGCAATATTTTTAACGTTCCTGTTTCACAAAATTGAAACGTAATCAATAAGATAAAATAAATTATTAACAATACTTAATGCAAAATATGACTCTATATATCCCCTTATGGGTGTAGAGAATAGTGCAAAGTGATCGGTGATGACTTGGTTTGGATGCAATAATTTTGTTCTCTATATCCTATAAAGTTTGTGCCTTTTGGTTCATGCTCTATACTCAAAAATTCATAGACAACGAGTCATGTGAGTTTCTTTTTGACACCAGGTGACAGATAGTGGTCGATACTTCAGTATTTTAGAATCAAAAATTCTCAAAAAATAAACCAATAAAATGGTTTTCGTATTGTGTGGTCCTAAATTATCGCTATGTGGACTAATTTTGAGTGTGTGGGGAATCATACAATTGGTAAATAGAAGTAAATTACCTTTTATATGTTGATGATTTTATTTCACAAATTGACTAACATCAATCTTGTGATTTCAGACGCTGATGGGCGTCTTTTATTACATCAGGGCTGTAGCGTTGCTTGAAGATCTTCCGCTAGATCCCAATGTCCATGAACTTGATCTTTTCATAGGTGAAGTGGAATCTGGATACACACAGGTAAGACAAATTATCCTGATACATAGTAAGTGCAAACTATTTATCATATTCATGATATAAAAACTGATTACATTAGCTGAAATGAGATTACGTTGTATTTTCCTTCAATTTCAGTCTAAACTACATGTGAACTGACTAACACAAAGTATACTCATTTAAGAATATATGGAATCAAAAGGTTCATTTGCTTCAGAATTCCTAGTATTAAAAATTGGTAATTCATTGTGTTGTGCTAAACTTTCAAATTACTATACTTCTTTAAAATTATTATTATTACATATTTATTGCCAGGAAGGGTTTTGAAATAATAAATACAACTTGATAGCCTTTAATCAAATACATTAATTTAAAAAGAAATAATTTAAAACTTGCAGTTCATAACACAGTGTCCATTATCACACTTGAAATTGTGATCTAGAAATAATTTATTTTTGCACTCAGACCAAATAAAAAGTAAAGACGGAGTTCGCTGAATAACAATGTGAAGTCAATTTTTAACAATCGTAGTGTGCGTGCCAGTGTGACCATAGTCATTAAAAACACCCCAATAACTTAACGTTACGACATTATAGAGTTAATGTTAACGCTATGCTATTTAATAATTTATGTAAATTCGTTTGTCTATATCAGCATAGATATTCTAAAATTTTTAAGAGTAGGTTATTATTAGTGGAGGCTATACATTAGAAAGACTACATAATTAATATTTAAGTTAAATTTGAAAACTTCCACTATGTTAACTAAAATTTTAATATATAGAAAGTTTGAAACCTTTGGATATGAGTTGCTTTATTTGACATAACCCTTTTATAGAATAATACAATTCATCACTCTTAAAATGAGTCGAACAAAATACGCTGTGCAAAGTTAGATTCCATGAAGGTTCATTTCGACTATTACGAATCACTGAAATCCACTTCTCTTTCACATTTTGATGTCTGTTTGGAAATCTAAAAATAATGCAAACCCATTTAGTAAAAATAAAGAAGTAAAATATTAAGTCCGTTTTTTATTTTTTACTTCCTTATTCTAACACTTCAATATCTGTGATCTGAATCTCTATGTAGCATTTTGAATGCAAAATTTATTAAATATCATTTCCATACAACAAGAAACAAATACAACATGTAATTTGTGTTTTGTTAGAAATAACGCGTAATAAAATTAAAGTTACCTGATTTCGGGGTAAATAATAACGTTTAACGATGGTAATATTTGGCTGAGGTTTTGTGCTCCAAGGAATAACTTCAATTTTATTCTTGAATTACTGAAAATGTAAGTTTTCTCCAATAGTTACATGTGAAATGTGATTCCATCCTGCCTTTTATTTATCGAGGATTGCTTTAACACCCCTCACTACAAAAGTCGGCATTTAGTAAGAAATTTTAGATTTTTTTTATAACGAAACGTTCCGCACACTGTCGATAGTTAGACTGATAAGGAAGGCGTAGTTTCGTTATGTGTGTGTGCCTAAAACTGTACGAATACGCTGAGGCGTAGTTTTATCGGCTTCACTATTCTGTTAGGCAAAACTCTGTCTATACTTTTTATTTGGTCTGAGTTTTTGCACAGAATTTAGTACTAAATTGGGGCTAACGTTGGATGTTTTTTTTGAACATTTTTTTTAACTGTATCCAGTGGCATAACAACAGGGTGGAAAGACGGCAAAATCTTTCCACCCTGTAGTTATGCCACTGGAAATGCCACAGCCCTTCAGCTGGAAGGGGCCCCTGATTTGATATTTATTATTACACAATTAGTAAAAAAATAGAATATCCAATGAATTTGCCACAGGTCTCAAACGGTATAGTTACATCACTGCCTGTATCACATTATTATGAATATGTACATGGCTAGTCACTGCAAAACATATTAGAAAGTAATATTATCTTCTATTTTCAGAATGCACACAACTGCTGGATTGCTGCTTTGCTTTATGTAATTACTCTCGTCATATCTGGTCACCAGTTCTGGATGAACAATCGTTCATCAGTGAGTATGTAGAGAGTGATAAATAATGCGATGGAAGAATGAACAGATGTTACTATGTACTATTGAGTAATTCCATTCCATTTAATTTATTGACATATTGCTAGAGTCCTAGTAGAATGTAACTAAAGTTATAAAAACCAACAAAAAAGTTTTTATGTTAACTCCAGACAATTACTAATTTCATATTCATGGAAAGTGTAACATTTAGATGATAATTGCATTTGTCTATCAGTGAAAATCCAATCTAAGATTTATTTTATGGGATAACTTAACTAAATTGTGCAAAATGTAGAATAATTTATAAGGTTTTAAACATTAATTATGTATATTTCCATTACCATATCTGTTTTTGTCATACGGAATAATAGTTTAAAAAATGTAGCCTATTTGTATACCGAAATATATTTACTGTTGTACCCTTCTGAGATAAGATCCATCTTGATTTTGTGCTTATTAATTTACCAACCATATTGCTTAAGTTTATTGATGATTTGTTGGAAATTGTAAATAATATTGTAGGTATTCTATAATTGCATAGATTTTCCTTGAATAAATGTATTAATGTTACATTGATTTTCATTTGCATTTTTTAGTTATTTTTGTGATCAGGGTTGGACCAGGACAAAATAATAAGATTCGGGACAGTCGTTGAAATTAGAACTGTCCCGGAAAATTCCGGACGGACGGCAAACCTGGTAAACTAATACTATCTAGTAAACTAATACAAAAAATATCTAATGAATGTCCTGCTACTGCAAATCTGTTTTGTAATAATGATGCACAGAAAATTTAAACATTACGGTTATACACGACAACACAATCGAATCGTTTGCTTTGATGATTGTATGAAAACAAACGAATCAATAAAAAAACAATTATATGTATATAAAATAGTCGGATATGTCAACAGAGTGCATCTTAAGCAAAGTCAGACTTGACTTCTTTTCGTTATTTGTTATGACTTGATCTAAGACTGCGCTGACTATGAAATATGTAATGAAGGTACGTATTAATATTTTATTACATCACCGTTTATATACCTATAGCCGTAATAGACTACATTTTATCTGTTATTATTTCAGAAAAGTTCAGACGCAGATAGTTGAAATCGATTTAAAGCAATACGATTTAGATCACAGATCGATTCACGAGTTCATGATCTAATACGATCCAAAAGATCGATCATTTGTACTTTGCGATATTTTGTGTTGGGCTATGTTCGGGCAATATCATTAGGTTAGGAGTAATGCCAATGTTTTTGGTAAATCTATGTAGAAAGATAGAATTTGTAATTCAAAATTGTTTTGTTGATTGAATGTATTTTAATCGTGCAATGGTCTCCTACGTGAAGTTGGCAATAATGTGGTGACGCAAAGTGTCATTAAAGTTAAGAAGAAGAAGAGTAATGCCAATCATTTATACATAGCAGACCATGGTTTTTTGTATATAAGGAAATTCCAAAAAAGTAGTTTCCATCATTTTCCATCAAAATAAAAGTTCGGGATAGCTCCCTTTGTGAGTGTGGTCTAGATGAGGGGTCACCTGATCACATATTTTTCAATTGCCCAAATATTTCTTGTTCCCTTTATGATATTTTACCCCCCAATATTCCTCGCCCTCTTAATAGCTACTTTGTTCTTCAGTCAATTAGTGATGCGTCTGTAATTAAATCTCTAACTAAATTTTTCAGTATTAATCAATTAAAACTTTAACATCAGTGGTGTTATCTTTCGCTCACTTTTTTTTAACACAATTAATTTAATAGTGGTCTGTGGTTAGATTCAATATGATTATGTTTAAATCATTGTTTATATAAAATTATTTCTTAATTAACGTATTAAAATCGTATTAAATTGTTTTTGGTAAATCTATGTAGAAAGAAAGAATTGGAATTCAAAATTGTTTTGTTGAACGAATGTATTTAAATCGTGTAATGGTCTCCTACGTGAAGTTGGCAGTAATGTGGTGACGCAAAGTGCCATTAAAGTTAAGAAGAAGAGTAATGCCAATAGTCGTTGACACATTAACGTCATTACTTGTACTTTTTTTAAAAAATATGGACTTGTTCCGTTATACACGGAAATTTCTCTAGCATTAGCATCCCGTAGTGTTGTACTTATAATGGCTTATCTGCGCATTTCACACAATTCTGCCAATGTCAAGTGAATAAATTAATTTCTACAAATTCTACATGTAAAATGAAACGAATAATTTATTCCTTTCTGTAAAGCTTTATGTGTCACAACGTTCTTCATGTGTTTAAACAAAGAGTACTTTATTTTTAACACGATGCTTAAAATTGGTTTAAAACTCAGGTTTCAAATATCTTTGGTTAGATGATTAGCGATCATTGTCAAAGAGAGTTTATCTACGTTTTATTAAAAGAGTAAAGTTTATTTATTGTTGAGATCATGTATAAAACTAATTTTTATTAATAAGAAACTTTCCGGGATTGTTATTAAGCAAAGTTACCGGTTACTAAGAATTATGAACCGTTTATATGCCTGTGGAGCTTGTTGCTTCGTGTTAAGTATATGGGGAGTTTTACAGTTGGTGAGTAATTAATTGGGAAAATGAAAAATTATTTCACTAAGTAATAAGGCTTAGGTCCCATGGTTAGGTTGGGAGATTCCATAAGCACGTATCTCCCGCACTTAACGGGGACAGCAGCACGTCCCTGTCTTAGATATTTTTGAGTATTGTACACAACCAGCAGGAGTCTTCCCGTAACAACGACAGATCCAGGGGGTCTAGGGGTCATGACCTGGTTCCCCCTGGGGTCCCCCTGAGCTGGGTCCAAAACCTACGTGGACTACTAATTAATTTTTAAACATAATATTTTTGTTTTGTCACAATATACTTAAACTTTATTGGTATCTATTATTATCAAAATCAAATTATAATTTCTTGCAACTTGACCACGACCATGTATCCCCCCTGGCGCCAAAACTGGATCCGCCCTTGTTTCATAACGGCGTGAGAAGAGGTGCAATAGGCTCTCCTCGCGCCAGGGACTTGCCGTATTAATGATACGGGGGCCCCGGGCCATATAGGCCCCTAAGGTGACAATTTTTACTGTTTTTTTAAGTCCCCAAACTAATCTCTAAGGCACGCTACGCAGTGGCGTGCCACTGACTAAAGGCAGTGGCCTACCATAGCATTTATGTATGTTATTGTAAGCGTGTGTGAGTTAAGATATCTGAAAATGAAATATTATAGTATCTTAACCGTCTGTTTCGAGCTGTCTATGTCCACGGTGAGCTCCACATACGTAACTTCGCTGATCTGCATATGCTAGGGGAGGCGAGAATGCCGTTACAATGCATTGCCTTTATATATCCTCTATTTCATTACATTTATGCTGAGTATAACATTAGCTGAGCAACGTATCAGGTACAGCCTGTACCGTGCTATTAATAATATGTTTTTGTGAGTGTTAATCAGTCTGGCAGCGCGACCCTCTCTGGTTTTGAAATGCATCAGGACTCTATTTATCAATATCTGAAAAATTAGAGACGCATCGCCAAAATACCTAATTTCGGATACGGGCTGATGACAGGCCAGCAGTACTATGTTTATGGAAAGTGTTGGTTTGGACAGCCTTTACTTCTGTTTTAATCAGTTTGAGACATAGGCGGGGATAAAAAGCTAAAGTAAACATTTTCAAAATCCTGTGCATAAGGGTTGACGGTAGCTCAGCAGCGCAACAAAAATTTATTTTTTTCGGAAAGTATGTGCCATGGTAATTTGTCTTTATTTTACTGATAAATATGGGATTTAGTTAAGAATTCAAAATCGAAAATGATGGCGCTGCTGGATTGAAGGTCATGTTTTTTCTTCTGTGTAAGATTTTGGCTCGTCAAAAAAGAGTTTTTTTTTCTCTTATAACTAGACTGTAATGGGAATTCTCTTCAAAGTTGAATCAACGACACTATTATTAGATGTAGCACCAGATGAGGAATTCGGCAGCATCGATGAGTATTTGAGGGCAGTTAAGAATAATTACGCAGCGGTATGTTAATTTTATTATTATTTATATGCACCTAATTTTTAAGCAAAAGGTGAGTAAGTATGGCTTCCAAAAGGTGCAGCAATGTCGCCTAAGAAAGCTTACCTATTTCTTTTTTAAAAGCTCTGTTTTTGGTAATACCGCAGTAGGAATATTAACTAAAATAAATTTTATTACACTAATTTGGAAAATATTATGCTTTGAAAATTTGAAAAAGAGAGAAATTATATTACAGAAAATAATGACATTAAACTAATTACATGAAATGAAACAAATTTACAAATAATAAAAATATTCCAAAGACTGCCCAGACGCTCATACGTTTTTCTCTACCATAGCAAGGCGTTACGTCACTTCGTCGCCTCAATTTGTAGGGAGCGTTTTCGGCCGACTAGCAGCAGTTCCAAAAACATAGCAACAAAACTGTTAATAGCGGCCACGCTGTTACTTACACATTATTTCTCACATATTAATAGACTACTTATTTATAAAAGCTTTATAACGAAGTGGCTAGCGCGATCAGTCTGCAATGTTACGCAACTATCGCAATGGCCGGTACATAGTACATAGGTGACCAAAAATATACTATCTCGAACTCCTCCTTGCTTTGGAAGGCATTTTAAACCTTGGTCCTGGCTGCATCTGCAGTCATTAATACCCACCAATCTGCACTAGGATCGTGTGGTGGTTTATGGCTTAATCTCCCTATTCGAACCGATTCTATTCACAGGGAAGGCCTGAGACCCAGCAGCGGGGATATAATAGGCTGGTGATGATAATGATAAAATTATATAAAAAAACAACTAGCATGTTAATCATCGTAGGACAACCCTTGTTGAGAACAGCATCCAGCGGCAGCATTACGTATTTCGGTATAGCTATGTAACATTTAACATGTATACAACTAAGAACTAATTGTTTTAATTTGTTTTCATGAAAAGACCGCAAGAAACTGCTGGATCGCCGCTGGCGTTTATTTAGTTTTCATTATTCTATCCATGCTTTGTATGTACCAAGCGCGTAGAGCCGCTAAGAGAAAGGCGGAATTGGACGAAGACGACGAAATATTTTGTGCACCACCCGAAGAGAAAAAGAAAATTATAAAAATGAAGAAAGACAGAACGAAGAAAGTGTAGATAGTTCCTGATTTCTTAATAAATTTACTTTAGTATCGTATACTGTATCATTGGCATATCAATTTTTTTTGGGTAGTGTCTAAAATTCTAGAGATCACGTAAATCAAATGAAATCACTAGTGTTAAAGCTGTAACTTAAATTGATAGTCTAAGGTTTCGTCAACCTTATAAGACGGCCGTTTAAAAAGCTTCAATTTACAAAATTTCAGTTTTAAAGTGGTAATAAAAGATTTCGTTTTAATATTAATACATTTCTAATTGAAATTTTATATGAAACTAGTGGCCGCCAGCGACTTCGCCCGCGGTTTTCCATTATTTCTTCGCTCCTAATAGTTGCAGCGTGATGTTATATAGCCTAAAACCTTCCTCCGTAAATGGTCTATTCAACACAAAAAGAATTTTTCAATTCGGACCAGTAGTTCCTGAGATTAGCGCGTTCAAACAAACAAACAAACAAACTCTTCAGTTCTATAATATTATTATAGATAAACGATTTTAAATACCCATTTTCAAGAATATCGCAATTTCATTATAGTATGGGTACTTAGTTGGATCGATTAAACGATTCAAAGGGTTTCTTACCTTTCAACAGTAAAATATATTTTTATAACAGACTTCATTTGTAAATTGAACTTGAGATCCGCATCACAACTTTGGAAGCACTTTTGAATAAGTGACCACGTGATACGAAAGCGGAATAATTTCCCAAAATATCAAATATCAGACTAGCATTAAATTTAATAGCAAAAAACCCACATACCCTAACTTAAGGAGATGAAGGGTAAAATTTCCAAGTTCTAAACTCTGTAACAAATTATCTGTTATTCACGTGCCAATGCAAACTAGGTTATTAAACAAATTTCAACTTTCTACGACCTTAGCAAGTACCCTGAAATTTTTTTTGAATTAGATTTTTGAAATTCTCCAGTATCTACAAAGTATCAATATCTACAAAGATCCGAATTAGGACATAACTATCGAACACATCGCTGCAGTTGGTTGTCAGTTTAAAACAATGATAATGAAGATAGTAGCTTGAATCTTTCATCTTTCTTCTCAGGTTGTCCTCAAATGGGAGATAAAACAGGCGGATAAACTAATCTACTGAATAAATTTATAAATGATTTAAACTACATGTGTAAGGAATTTTTTATTGGATTGAAATATTTAAATAGTTTTCATTCTTGTGATAGTTATTTTACTTCCTCCAATTTCCTGTCAAAGGTTACAGTTCCGATGTTCACACTTTTGATTTCGTCCTTACTCATTTGTGGGTTTTCCTGAAACAGTATGTGAGCTAATTAATAAATTAATTATTTTTGGTTCTTAATTATCGCCATAGACTTTGCCAAAATTGAGCTCACACAGCAGCACTTTGCCACTGATCATAACAAAACAAACTGTTGTGGCATACGACTACGCTGTCCTTTGGTCATCGCTATTATAATATAGCTATTGCTTTACAATAAATTTCTTGTTGCAAACTTTTTAGAGTGTGAATTAGTCGTAGTCAGGCTTTAATTTTTGTTATTAAAACTTTTGAAACTTTTCCACGAAAATTGTGGGCACGAAGGAGTATGAGATTCGGTACAACTTATAGCTTATAATGTAGTTTTGCAGAATGCTATTCTCTTTATGTATTTTCTCTGCTAATAAAACCTTAATGGTTATCAAACAAATTCATTTCGGGTATTGGAATACCAGTATTGGAATATATTAAATTAGAACTCCATCTTAAATAATAAGATCTGGAATTTCACTTTTTCGATACCACCTGTGCGGTGTCCACCTCTTCGTCTTTTGCTGGCTGGTTAGGGTTGAGCCAGGGATCTTCGAGGATCTGCGGTATCTTGACGCGCACCTTCAGTGGCGACAATATTTTGGTGATCAGCTTTCTGCACTCGGTCGATACCTTCGGCTCGCGTGGAAACGATACTTTATTTTGAACTTGCTGATAAGGAAAATATTTGTTTAGGTACAGCATTTTCGGTTTACCGGTAAGTCGGCTTTAAATATTCAGGCACAGTCGAGATGATTAGTTAGATAACAAACCACATTTTTAAGCATTAGCATGGTTATTTAATAAATGACACAATTAATTTTACCAAATATTTTAATATTTCCAAATATATGAATATCCAGGTACGTCGTCATACATGTAAAACTGTAATTCAACTTTAATTCATACCTTCAAAAGTTGCGTGTAGTTTGTATCGTCGAAAGGCAAACGTCCGTAGACAATAGCATAGAGCACAACACCCATACTCCAAATGTCAGAATCTTGAGGCCTATACGGGACTCCTTTCAGGATTTCAGGAGAGGCGTATGCGTAGCTGCCACAGAATGTCTCACTAAGGGAATACACTCCGTTTTTAGGTTTCATGTGGCCGCGTGCAAAACCGAAGTCCGATAGTTTTATGTTCAGACCGTGATCCATCAGCAAATTTTCACATTTGATATCTCTGTTGGTAGAGCAAATTTGCTAGCTTTTTATCTATTTTATAATAAAAAATCTTCTAACAAATTTATTAATCAGTCTATAGTCTAAAATATTAACGGCATGGAATGAATTTGGATAAGCGAATATGGTACAGATATAATAATCCTGATAATATTTACCGATGAACTACACCCCGCTCATGGCAGTAATCGACTGCTTCGACAAGTTGCTTGAACCAGCGGCGGCCGCGCATCTCGTCGATATGCTGGTCTTTTCGGATGATGTCAAGTAAGCTGCCATTCTCGGCATACTCCATTACAATGTATACTCTGTGGAGTTGTTTTTAAGAATAAACTATGATTGCAAACTATAACTTTCAACAATGATAAAAATCTTAGGCCATTACATTAGAGCGTAAATTGTATTAGAGCTCGAAAGGCAACTTTTAACCTTAGTCCTGGAGGCTGTGGCATCTATTAAAATGGGGGGGGGGGGGAGGCGGTTTTCCCGGTTATCCAATGTCCACAAAGAGACCTTCGTATTTTGTATCTTCGATATCCTATGGTTGGTAGTTTGTAATAGGCATATTGACTGAGTAAAAGAATAATTCTATTTGGTCTGTCAGTCAGATAATGGAAAAATGTATTATATGTATTTCATTTGTATTAATTTAAAAAAATGGCTTAGATAAAAGGCATTAAAGTTGACGATTGGAGGTATTTTACATCACAACTATGTTGAAAATGTACAAAGGCGTGACGTCATGCGATATTTCAACTTATGTATCAATGCCAAAATTAAAAAAAAAACGTAGTTATTAATCTTCAATAATCTACCTGATGGACAGACAAACAAAAATATTTGGTAGTGAAGGTTTTAAGATGTAATGTTGCGTGTTGATGTCGAAGTTGCTAAATATCCCGAAAAACTAGATTATACACAATTACGACGTCAATATGGTCATTAAACAATTTCTAAAATTAAGTATAAGCTTTTGTGATAAGTAAAACATAAAACACAAATTAACACGTAAAATCAGTTAAACCTATGGGTGGTTTCGATTGCTTGTAAGAATCTTATCAGATTTTCATGCTTCAATCCCTTAACCACTTCTATTTCTCTCGGTAGAAACTTTTTCAAATAATCTCCGGGTGCTTGAAACTTGCTTATGATTTTTATTGCTACTTGACAATTGTGTCGATCGCTGGTGGCCACCTGATTGAAAATAGTTTTAGCTATATTATCGAGTCAAGTTAAGGAATTAAATGATATCAATAAATTATATCATGTCGTAAATAACATAGCGGTTGGAAGCTTACTATATGCAATTTAAAAGCCGGAGCGGCATTAGTATAATATTAACAGACACATTAACACATTCAAGTACTGTTTTTCATCTAGGATAAAGTTTAAAATAATAAACTTGGAGCATAACTGCATAAGTACGGTCTATGAGTAATCCAAAATAAACCTTACCAGATTTTATTCTTAAACAATAACAAAAGTTTAAGATCTACTGATAAAAGATTAGGTTCACAAAGTATTGCTAGGTACCTTGACAGTTGCATACGAGCCGGATCCAATGGTTCTACCTAGGACATAGCCATGTGTTTCAAGGACAGTTAGTTTCCTCTCAGTCTTGGCCTCAACACCGCTGTGCACTGTTGCTGTTGGCTCCGTCGACATCTCTCCGAGAACATTGTCATTGGCCTTTACATCCGGCCCCGGCATATCACAGGTATAATTTTATTTATTTAAAATTTCCGGTTTAGTATCAGTTACATTATAATGAATTCAGCCACATATTTTTTAGTTATTAATCTTTCATATTTTTTTTTGGGTTTCGATCAAGTTGTCATCTTTGTCACACTGATTTATTTTTGAGTGAGGTCAACGTCATGTTTTTTTTTGAAAAAATATAAGCTTGTAATAGACAAAAGTAATGGACAGTTGGTAGTGAAATTAAAACTTTTTGGTCAATTACATTTACTGTAGGTAATAACTTTTTGCTTTATTAAAAGTGCTTTAAAATCGTTAAAAACTTCATGTTGTAGTACTTTTTCTTTTTAATTACAGCTTATTTGGACTAAATTTCTTAATTCAAAATCAGTGAAAGAACGGATGAATAAATATGAGTGATAATAATTCAATTGAATGTAGTGAGTTTTGGTTTAGGCACCATCTTAAATAATTCATGGACGTTGTTCTAACTATAGGATAATATCTTAATTGTAATCTTATCGTGTTAAGTGCCCCAGAATAACTAGTTGCTAACCAACCGCGCATTACACGGATACTACAAAAAATGTTTTAGCGGAGTGTGTTTTCTAACATGAAAACAGTAGGATATCTGATGAATAGGGCTCGTTGTGAGACTAAACTAGATATAAATAGGCCTTTTTTGTCTTTCTTTTTAGAAGTTTTTTTTTTAATTTCCCTGTTAGTGTGGGTCATATGTTGCAAGTTTTTCTCCCACTTCTCATTTTAAGGTTGTGCTGAAATATAAATGAGTATATAACTTGGAGAGGAACTCGATGGCGTAATAGTTAGCGCGTTCGGTCTGCGATGCGGAAGTTAAACTACTTTTGTAAGGGCTGATTATAGGATGGGTGACTAAATATTTATATTAGTTAACCCGCACTTTACTCGACCCCATGCGTAGGAGAAGCCTGTCTGTGTCCCAGCAGTCAAGACATAAAAAGTCTGGTGAATATGATGGCATATCACAACTTGTATGCTAGTGATCCGACGGACCTGAAAGATTATCATGCAACCTTTAAATTAAATGAAGTAACCCAATGGGTTTTCTACACAAATGAAGTGTGGACTCGCTTGATTGACTTTGGTCCGATATAAAACCCTTCGTCTGTTGATGGAACTAGAAGGTGCCTATGAGAACTTTATAATTACGTAACGTAACCCCATAGCTTTTGGCCCGTTTGATTTGTCTATTTAAAAGCTCTCGTTTAAAATAATGACTAGAAAAGTTTGTTTAAAAGCATTCAATTTATAATTATTTTCTTTGTTTTTACGTTTTCGAGAGTAATATATAAAGTTATTAAGCCAATAAATAAAATACGTGTAACATAATATTGAAGTAGGAGCATAGTAATTATTATCATAATGAATGTACCGAAGAATATTTTGAAAATTTATATTTATATGAAACTCGGTACGCGAGTCCTTCTCATACCTATAGCCGTTAATTCTCGAAGATGTTTTTTGCTATTGTTTTCTTTATGTTAGAAATCTGTAACATTAAAATAACAATTGCACCTATTTTAGCACCGACTGTTCGTGCAAGTTCTGAAAGTCCTATACCCGGGGAATCACCATTATTAAAGACCTTTCCTTTTGTCCTCCATTCAGAGTTCTATAACAGAACCGGACAATTCCCAAAGCTCATGTTATACTAGACGCGTGCAATGCTTCATTCGATGACCCATTTTCATACAGTTGTGTCATTTTTTGGTTGCTTTTATTCTGTGAGCGTTTTTTTAGTGGCAGGTTTACTATGGTATATTTCTCTATGGTCGCCGTCTTTTGTTACGGTAATTGCGTATTCCGCGGACGGGCTTTTACGTTATTAGACGAGTGAGTACCGTATATATGTAATATTAGATAATTTTTGTAATGTCAAAATCTGGCGCAATCCCTTTCCGGTTGACTTTTGTATGATATTATCAAACTTCAGGCTACAACCATTTGATAGCGATTGCAATCGCAACGTTTTTTGAAAGATAACAATGAACGATATCGTAAATTGGAATTGTCTATGGCAAGCTTTAGATGCAAATATTACTTTGAAATTAATCAAGAAATGTCATACGAAAGAGTTGAATACCAACTGCAATCATCGATGGGTTTAGATTTAGAACATTTTTTATTATAATTCGTGACCATTGAAATAGATTATGGCCATTTTAAGATAATTATCTGGTTTTGGCCATTTTAAAAATAAAGAAGAAATGAATTTTGACACACAGATGTCAATATTAGGAATGCAATCATGAGAGATTGAGATGCGGGCGAGATCTCGCGAGTTTATGAATATTAATATCGCGAGATTTCGCCAATTATGAGATCTCGCGAGATTGGCACTTTTGTGTGTTTACTGTTTTACTGTAATATTTATTCAACTTACAATATTTGAATAAATTAGAAAAAAATATAGGAATTATAGGTTTTATGAAATTATCATTTTTAAGGGTATTTATAAAAAAGTTTTATGTATATAACATTGGTTGACGCAATTATATTTTTTTATCTAAATCTTTAAAAGAAGTAATTACTGTATTATAATCTCGGAAATGGCTCCAACAATTTTCATGACATTAAGTATGCAGGGGCTTTCAGAGGCGATAAATCGATTTAGTTAGGTTTAATTTTTTATTTTATGAAAGTGCCAAGTAAAGCTTAGTCATTCATGTACTAGTCTTTTAAGAAACTAAACTTTAACGTATCTAATCAAATACAAAATGAAACAAACAAGCAGTCTTCTCTGCTAATATCAAATTCAAAAATGTTTTATTATAATACACAGTTTTTATAACAAAAATACAAAAACTAAAATAAAACTCATTAACTAAGTTGAATTATCTATTTAACTGAGATTGTTATCAATGAAAGAAAACCAGATATATCATCCAGATATCTATTAGAAATTAGAGAATAAATTAACAAAATATACCAATTAATTTAAAGGCTTATTCAGTTTATTTCACACGTCATTATTACGAATAATTTTGAAAGTAGCTTCTTAAGAAGCACAAAATGTCCATAGAATCTTTGCTATTCGTCTTATTATTGTGCTGGCCAGATAACCAGCCCCCAAGAAGGCCCTTTCGAAAACACGAGTACTGTAAAAGTGTAAAACTTCGCCTTTTAACCCCCCGGAATCGCATAAATTCGCGTTGCGGCACTTAGAATAAATCCAAAATTAGAAAATTTTATGCTCGCGTGCAATCACGTTAAACTCGTGAGATTTCGCCCATTTTTCGACCGAAATCAATCTCGCTAGGCCGAGATCTCGTTCTTTTTTAGCGAGATTGTCTCTTGATCTCGGTCGAAAAATGAGATTGCATTCCCTAGTCAATATTCATTTCTTCTTTAATAAATAATGAAAACTTTTTTAAATCCATTTACGGTTAAGTAATATATTTGCTGATTTGTTAGTTAGAACTGGTTGTAATACCAAATGGCTAAAAAGAAGGCATTGGTGAAAACCGGGTCTTCTGCCCTATTTAAATGAGACATTAGTTCGCAGATTTATATAGGTTTTTAAATTGTAATCCTGGGTGGTGAGTATTAGTTTTGTTTTATAGCAGTCGATGGTGAGAAAACTGTGTTTTTAAAGGAGGTTTATTTGTTTTCAAAAGTTTTATTTTATTATTTCTTTGTAACATATACAAAAATGTATGTTAATTTAAAAAATATCATAGAAAGCTAAATACGCGATGTTTCTTTTCCTCAATAATATAAAGGACATCGCCGAAAATGGCCCCAATACCATTAAATATTAATACTTCAATAATAATTACTAATTTATTTATTAAATTAGAATGAAATATTTATTTGACACGGACAAGCTGCGATCCAAAATTAATATTTAAAAGTACTTTAACAGTAACATTTTTATTCGCAAATATTCACATTCAATATACTTAAATTCTATTGAGTCAGATGGATGTCATTTACACGTCAGATGAAGAAGATCATTTATTTTTATTAGATCAACTTTAAATCATCGAACACAAAAACATTAAATGAAATTGACCTAAAATAAACTTAAATTTACTAAAAGCGCCATTTCTCGGTGATTTGCCAACTAAAACGTAAGGACATAAAAACTGAATATTATACAAACTAAATTCATTAACTGTTGATAATTCACTCCTGTTTATTCAGAAAGATTTATATTCATACGACATATCCTAAAAACTACTTTGTTTCTATTACATTACCTTCATATTTCTCGTAAACATATTAGCATCATGTCATTTATGTATTTAAGGCGCCAGCTTTTGATGTAAACCATCAAAAAGCTATAGGCTTTTTAATTTTAATCTTATCAATAGGTATATTATTTAACTATTAGAATGATTTATTTGTCTATTGATTGACTTAGAAACTTTTACAAATCACAACGAAAAACCGACTTTCTTAAAGTTGGGTTTTTTTTGCTTCGACAATATAGACATCAATATCATATCATGTACTTAGAGTGCCATCTCTTGGTGGTTTTCCAAACAAATTATAACCTCAAAATGAATTATATTTTGCGTGATAATAAGTTCTAAAACTCGGTCGCGGTATAATAAATACATAATCAGAATTAGTTAGTGACACACAATAAAATAAGTATTTTCCTATATTTTTTTGGCTCTGGGGCCACCATTGTATGGACGTTGAGCAATGTCCTTTAAATGATTTAATTTTTCCCTGTTATAATAACAAAATTGTTAATCTGATTTCGGTAAAACGTTTATGAGACCACCTCAAATCTTCGAGAATTTAAAATTTTCGAAATCGGTGACTATATCTACCTTCATAAAAGTACACCAATCATAGAACCTACTTCTCGACGATTTTGAAGTCGAATATAAATTGATAAGCTTTAGCGTGATACGTAGCGTAACTAATATTTTTCAAAACTTAAAGTTGCATTAAGGTTGTATTAGAAGTTTAAAGATATCCTTATAAGAGTACTATCACGTACAACTGCCGTCACA